CCAAGCTCATGTTTCTTGAGAGGTTTGCTGGCTGATAATAAGTGAGGTTTTCTCAGTCCTTCCCACAGAACACAGCAATGCTCTATTTATAGGGCAAAGATGACCTACTCTTGCTTCCTAATCTGTTCTTTTTTTTTCCTCAGGTAAATTTAGTGAAGTTTATTGCTTTTTAATTGGTTACATATGTATGCTTATTTCTGGAGCAGGCAATTTACTGGCAAATTTGGTGTTGGCTTTTTTATTTTCTATTTGCTGTGGTTCTTTATTAATAAGCCCCTTGATTTAGATAACAAACATTCTTCAGAAGTACTTTGGTATGCTCAAGAACTTTTTGCAGTAAATCTTTATGATAACTGTAATTTTTATTGTATTTCTATGCATTTATTTCTGAAGGTTTTTAACTCTCCAAATGATGATGAAAAATGTTTAAGTCTTGGGTGTTCTTGTTTTGTTTTTTAGCCTTGTCTAGGCTGAATAAGCCCAACTCCTTCAACCTTTTTCATAGGTATTGCAGCCCTTTGATCATCTTTATGGCTCTCCTCTATGGCCATATGGCCTCTGTGGCCCTCTAACAGCTCCACATCCTTCTTGTGCTGGGGATGTAATACTGCAGATGGGGCCCCACAAGGGCAGAGTTGATGTGAAAAAACAAACACTTCTTGTTTCTGGGATATCTCTCCTCTGACTTGTAGAGAATATGCTTTATACATACCACATTAAATTTTACAGCTTGTAAAACACTTAGTAAAGACGGGAGAGATTTCAGTCCTGTCTCTGCATGAAAACCTAGATGGTTGTGAACCTAGAACTTGTTTTAAGTAGCACAAGACAACTTTTTTTACAGCTGTTGGGGTCTAAGTCTACCACCTATGCTGTATTTCTGCTGCATGAGTCACTTGGATGTTACGTATGTAGCCTGAGTAAGTTTTCAAAACCAATAATGTGGTATATGCTACCAGCAATGAAAAGAGCCCTTACACTGTAAGGTCCTTACTGTGTTTTATATAAGTCCTTACATTTTTTCTTCTCCTCTAGTAATGCTGATACGTGCTTTGCAGTCATAATCTGTTACTTGCAAAGTGTAGACACTGAATATGATCTGGATTTTGCTTCTTCTCTTGGAATCATCCTCCCCAGCAGGGCCTTGATCTGTTGGTTAAACCTTTTAGTAATTACATGGAAACTGTGAAGGTCCATCTGGAAAGAAGAGTAGCTGAACAGTAAAGTGACTAGTGCCCTTTTTTTTCTAAAACAGTCTGAAGATGAGATCCAAGGTATGACTGGTGTATAGAATGGTGATAAAATGCACAGATCTTCACAGATGAAGCCATGGAAATGAGATTTCAGTGCCTTTGACGTGAAGCTGTAAGTTGAAGCCTATGTGGTAATGAATCCGACCAACTCCTTTTATACAGGCGGGATCAACTCTTTGAAAGGGTAGATAACTGCAGGACGAGGGGAAATGGTTTTAAGTTGAGGGAGGGCAGATTTAGGTTGGATATCGGGGGAAGTTCTTTGCTATGAGAGTGGTGAGGCGCTGGAACAGCTGCCCAGAGAGGCTGTGGATGTCCATCCATTCCTGGTGGTGTTCAAGGCCAGGTTGGATGGAGCCTTGGGCAGCCTGAGCTGGTATTAAATGTGGAGGTTGGCGGCCCTGCATTGGTGGGGGTTGGAGATTCGTGATCCTTGACGTCCCTTCCAACCCGGGCCGTTCTGTGATTCTGTGGGAGCGGCACGGCGCGCGCTGAGGAGAGCGCCCAGGGCGGGAACGGCGGCCGCAGGGCGGGCGGGAGGAACAGAAGCGGCGGGCGGGCAGAGCGCGCGGCCCGGCCGTGGTTGTCCCGCCCCGTCCCCGCCCTGGGGTTTCCCTCAGGAAGGCGGCGTGCCGCCCGAGCGAGGCCTGCGGGAAGTTCTTTGCCGGGAAGTTGGTGAGCGGAGGCGGGCCGCGGGCGCTCAGGGGGTTGCGGGGCGTCGGCGGTGGGGACGTTGGCGGCCGGCTGAGGGGGGGTGTGCGGCAGGCGGGGCTCGGCGCCTCCCCAGCGGCCGCGGAGTGCTGGGCGCCTTCCTCGGGCCCAGCCGGCGGAGGATCTCGCTTTTCTCGGAGGAAAGTCAACTTTTTTTCCCCTCTTTCCTTTCATCCCCTCAAGGTGCGATGCCGCCCAAGGAGCGCGGCAGGGGCAAGCTGCCTGTTCCTCTGCCGAGAGACATGATCCTGAAGGACACCGAGGGAAAAACGTGGAGGCTGGGCAGCCAGATCGGCCAGGGCGGGTTTGGCCTGATCTACTTAGGTAAAACGCGGTGCATTTAGGTAAAACCCACAGTAATTATACGTGCGACGTGTGAGTTTCCTCTTGACTTTCTCACGTGAATCAGAGGCATTAACCGCAGGAGGTATAATTGCCAGTCGTCATTTGTTTGTGTTTATTCAGTACGTGTGTTTCTGTACTTCCTTCAGAAGAAGCTTTCGCTTGGTGCGAGTGTGGCAAGGAGTGAGTCATTGTGAGGCACTTTGTAAAGCATTTCAGGTCACTGGCAGAGATGTTGCATATGCAGGCAGCTGTTGCTGATCTTTAGGAAAGAACAAATCCTGTTTTCAAGGCAGCATTATAAGTTTTTTTTTTTCTTTCTACTGCATGTGTGCAGTTCCTGTCACTCTGAAGAAAAGCAAAAGATGCTTTTTTTTTTTGCTTTACTAAACAAAAGATGTTCTGCACAGAGGTGCTTCTTCACCTCTGTGAAACCACACTGAGTGTAGCATTGCCCTGCAGACCTGAAAGAAGTTGTCCATCAGTGTCAGACTGTAGGATCAAGCACCTACTGCATAAAGAGATGCATTTTCTTTGTAAGGATTAGTGTGTTTCCTCTTGTCATATTTGCAGTCATAAATGAGGAACTTGCGTGCCACTGTTCTTTCAGTAGCAGACTTACTATGATCTTTGTTGTGACTGGTTAACTCATTGTGCTTGTCTGTTTCCAACTGTTTGGGAACGCTTGCACCAAACTGTTCTTCCTTTCCTTCTTTTTTTTCCTCTTGTCTCTTATGGCTAATCTCAATAGAATGTCAACTAAAGACCCATCTTTTGTTCCATGATGTGATGATCCCATATGTGATCAGGTGTTGCCTAGAGAGTTGTAATTCCAGCTAGTAATGTGTGGCTGTAAATTGAAGGGGAGTAGACAGTTTTTCTTGCACACTTGGACTTCAGGTTTGTGTGGGAATTTATTTTTTTATATTTGTTTATTGGAGAGAGGGTGGGACTGGAGCCATGTGTAAGCACTGAGATTTCAGTGTTAAAGAAGAAAAAGAAAAAAACCACTGCTTCTGCTTTCCTACAAAGTAAACAGTCATTGGAAAAACTTCAATAAAATTAGAAAACTAAGGCTGTGTTTGTTCGGTAGTTTGTTGTAACAATTATATGAGTAACTGGCAATAGCTGCTGGCTGTGGCCTACATCTGCCCTATATTTAAATTGAGGGTTTTTTTGTTTTTTCTTTTTTTTCCACTTTGGACTAGTTTTGGTGTGGTCTGCTGCACAGAATTTCCTAAGTGTGTGATTTGAGGGCACTGGAAGAAACTGTTTTGAATCCTTATGTTTGTGTTAAGAATTCGAGTGTATCTGGTGGGCTTCTATAGTTTCATTTCTTCTGAATTGATGCAGTTCACATGTACCTAATGGCTCTGCAAACTGAACTAGTGGGGATGATAAGAATTTCAGCTATCTGTGGCTAGAGGAGGCAAAGGCCAGCATGCTAAGAATATTTACATTCTCTTTCTTTTGATGTGTATGATAGCTTTTTATGACCTTCTCTATACTGTTGGTTGTTCACATTTGAGAGTTGCTGTGCCTAGAAAAAATACGAAAAATATTACCATAAGAAAACAGATCTTGGCAGGAGCTAAGAAGTAAAATTAAGTTACTTCTGGATGTTGCCATTCAAGGATGAATCGTGGGAGAGTGTACAGGGATGTCAAGTGGGGGTCAGGATCCAAAGGAATGGCAGACAGAAGCTTTGAGGATGGTCTGCAGATGCAGTGCAGAAACTAAGGCTGTAGCTATGGGTGTAATTCAGGCCAAACAGAAAACGTTCCTGCCATTTACAGTCAAATTGCAGTGGACCTTGTGTGTGGTATAGCACATGGAATTCAGTTGGTATCTTATAGATTTTATTAGTTATTTGCCTGATTGTTCAGACTGCTGAGATGATTTCACGTATCATGATGGTTGTTGCAGTATGAGTCCCACTGAACAGACACAGGAAATAATCAGTGGATTTGCTGAGAATGAGAATACAGCCTGAAACCCTTGGTATTGCAATTAGATCTTTTGTCATAAGTGACACCATACTGAAGAATTATAGCTGCCACTTATAATGGTGTTTGTGTTCATTTAATTTTTTCTTTTAGGATGACAGTGAATGTAACATGTAGGACTGAACTGAAGGCTTTCACAGAATCACAGAATCACAGAATGACCTGGGTTGGAGGGGACCTCAAGGATCATGTAGTTCCAACCCCCCTGCCTAGCAGGGCCACCAAACATACACCTTTACTAGATCAGGTTGCCCAGAGCCTCGTCCAACCTGGTCTTGAACACCTCCAAGGACGGGGCATCCACAACATCCCTGGGCAGCCTGTTCCAGGACCTAACCACCCTCCTAGTAAAAAACTTCCCCCTAACATCCAACCTAAATCTTCCCTCTTTTAACTTAAAACCATTTCCCCGTGTCCTGCTATTATCAGCCCTTTTGAAGAGTTTACTCCCCTCCTGGGAGTAAGTTCCCTTCAGATATTGAAAGGCTGCAATGAGGTCGCCCCGCAACCTTCTCTTCTCCAGGCTGAACAAACCCAACTCCCTCAGCCTGTCCTCATAGGGGAGGTGCTCCAGCCCCCTGATCATCTTCGTGGCCCTCCTCTGGACCCTTTCCAAAATCTCCATGTCTTTTTTGTACTGAGGGCTCCACACCTGAACACAGTACTCCAGATGGGGTTCCCCTTATACCTTATACCTTATCCTTATCTTACAATTAAAAGAGGTAATGGGCAAAACATATCCTTGTATTGACGCTGAGTGAAGCTTTCTTGTTTTGTCCACATCCTTATCTTAGATGCATGTTCATATTTAGTAACGTATACCATATCCCTACAAAAGAGAGTCTGAATGGCAAGGAGAGCGCAGTAGATGATGATACACAGATTATTGGTGCTGAGCCAACTTCTTTCTCTATGCTTTTCAGCCTAGTTTCTAATAGGTATGCAGCAAAATGTGAGAGTGGCCACTAAAATTTCAGTGAGAAGCTAACACAGAAAGAACTGTAGAGAGGTGGGTAAGACAGGAAAGTGGAGATGGATTTGATTCTCTGCCAGATGTGAGCAGCACGGCCCTTTTATAAAAGTAAAAGTTAACTTTTCTGGCTGTATCTTTTAACAAGTATTTTTACTGTAGTGGTGTAAAGATTTTGATGTGCATTGTTATAGCTTAATTTGCCATTAAGGGTACTCCATACTCCATTAATCTATACCAATGTACTTGAGATATTTTACACTGTCTCTGCAAAATGTGTTTACTGGAGATGCATTCCTTGGAAGGTTCACTGAATCAAAGCTGCTGAAAGCCATTACTAACCTGGAACCCTAGAACACTGGTAGTCTCTTTAGGTGCAGGGCTTCTAATTATGTAGGTGACAGTTACCAGTTGCTACAAGTTTTGTTCTGCATCGTGAACACTTTCACTGTTTTTTCTAGTTGCTCTTTCCTGTCTGTGTGCCATCTTGTCTGTTTCTCTGTTGACTTGTTCCTTCCCTTGGATTTCTTTTGCATTTTTATTTTAACCAGGGTAAATAGGAGAAGGCTGGCAAATACTGATTCCTCCCAAAGAGCAGACTTTCCTCTGCTGCCAGAAGCACTAGGAACTGTCTAGAGATATTCTTTCAAACATTGCTTTTGTCCCAGCAAAAGCAATACGGATCATACACTGGACCTACCTATGCTCTGACATGCTGGTTTTTGTTCCTGGTACTGATTTGCCATCCAATACCTCAGACAGAACCATTACCCCTTTGATAAGGCAGGAACAGAATGGAGAGCAACCAGGGGAGGACATGACATATTGTTGGTCTCACAAATAGGTTGTAGCCCTGTGGAGCACCATGGCAGTACATACGAAAATTAAGCTAGAGTTGAGGAGGGTGCTACTGAGAGCCTTACATTCTCTCATTTATCTTACTGATTGCAGTCAGTAATTAACAGCAGTCTTTATATAAATCATTCTGTAGTCCTGCTGCAAGGACTCTATTAATGCACAATTTGGACAGAAAATTTAAATTCAGAAAGGTCACACAGTGTTTTGCTGGGACTCCATTGTTGCAGTAAAACCTGGTGTAGACAGCATTACCTGCTTTCAGACTTCTTTCTAACAAAAGCAGGTAGTTCTTCTTAATACTTGTACTTATATTTTGTTAGATTGTGTATTTTACTTACTATGTGGTAAATGTCATCTAACTGTATTATACCTGTATATTGCAATAGAGCTTTGTAACTGATAGGTAAAAAAGTTTTGAAACCATTTTTCGTAGCTGGCTTTGCAGCAGGTGTTTGTGTATTGCTGTTTGACTGCTATATTTGCAGGTGTTGTTACAATATGAGAAGCTCAGGAAAGCGATAATGCTACAGTCAGTGATGTTCTTGTCCTCCTTGGTGATCTGTCACTTGTATAGCTATTTTTTCTTCTCCATTTTTTCTTTTTTTTCTCTCTGTTTTCCAAGAGGAGGCAAAAAAAAAAACCTAACCAAACAAAAAAACCTGCTTGTGCAGTAAACAGTGGTTGAATGAATGAGTGTATTTTAATACCAGCATCAGAGAGAGCTGTAGTCATTGTGGCCTCTTTTGACTTTGAGTTTGGACCACAGTTTGCTCTGCTGTTGATACTTTGAGACCTGGTGTTTTGAGAAATGGACTGAATGGTCTGAAATATAGGTTTTTTCTATTTCAGAAAAAGAAATTTCCTTGGCTAATTTGTACACCCTTGCTAGGGGGTATAATGTGCCAGGAAACGGAAGCATTGATTTCCGTTGTCCATGTTCTGTCATGTTCTTAGTGTTCATTCCTTGGTTTGAGTTAAGAAGCAGACTTCAGTAATTGGTTCTAGAGAAATGAGGTACATAATTGCTTAAATTAACTTCTCCAAAATTATTTACTGTACTGCAGCAAACAAATTAACAATGCAGTAACAATAATATCTAACTGTATATGTTCAGGATGATCTTTATGAATTCAATGGAAAGAAGATTATTAATAGCAAACAAAGCTATAATTAAAAGCACTTGCAGGTGACTGATTAGGGTTGGATCTTTCTCAAACTTCAGGTGTGAAAGTGCTTTTCAGCAAAGCTCTCATTGTACCTGCAGGTGTGAACCTTAGTGTGAAAAAGTCATTGCCAGATAAATGCCACCTCAGGAAAGTATTTTTTCTAGTCTCTAATATTAAACTTTATGCAATCTACTTGCTGTATGTACACTGATAGTTTTTCATCCTATAGGCAAACTGGTACATACAGTTGGCCTCTTTTTGTTACGCAGCAGTTACCTAGGGCTGGTACTTGTTACAAGCTCAGATTGCTCCATCTGTTAGAGGAAATTCTCCTGCTTCTCCAAGTTCTTGCTGGTGCTGCAAGAGCTCATTACTATTATGCTTTAATGTTCTGACACTTTTGTTTCCTTGTTTTTCCATATATATTGTGATTTGGGAGCTGTTGTTTTGCTCTTTATTTGTCCACTTTGTAGGAATTCTGATCAGAGACCAAGACCCTGACATACTAGGTAAAACTAAAAGGGAAGAAGGCAGGTTTATTATTATTTTTTCCCAGTGAAGAAAGTATTTCAGAATAGCATTACATGTAAAAGGAAAAACTGTGGTTGAAACATGTGGCACTTGTTGCCTTATGGAGGGCACTCTCTACAGCTGTCATTGGCACCTGTAACCTACTGAAACTGGCATCATACCTTCTTAGTGGGCTCTATGTCAAAATGGCAGATGGGCTAGAGCAGAACCTTGCCAGAAAACAGTTTGTGCACCACGTTTTGAATATTAGAGGCCTGAGCTCCTGTTTGAGAGTGCTGTAAGAGCAGACCATGTATAGCTTTTCTGCCTAGGGTTAAAGGATGTATCATGCCTCTTCCAGCTTAGAGTAATTAACTTTGAAAGGCAAAAGGTGGCTTCTGTTGCTGTGGAATGCAAAACTTTATTGAATCACAAAGGTTTCACAGAGGTGTGTGAGCCATACAGTGAAATTTCCTACCAGTACTAAGAGTCCTTAACTTGGAGGCAATCACAGGTATCAGCAAAACGCTCTGACAGTTAAGCGCGATTTTCTTTCAAAAAGCAGTTTACTTGTGTCTTGTAGAAGATGATTTCACAGGCAGGGTAGATGGACATGTATGTGTAATTCATGTAATAAAGCTACATTTGTAAGTGTGCCTAGAAGAAGAATGTAGGAAAAAATATTCATAAACATTGCTTGGAAAAGTGTGTGTCAAGGAAGTGATGATGCATCATCAGACACTTAAAGCACTGAATGATTTGGTTCTTGGGGAAACACTGAATATAAGGAAGTGTTGGGGAGGAAAGCTAAAAAGCATGTTTTTTGCTTGCCTTTAAATATTAATATTCTTCATATGTAGGATATGTGTAATTGTGTACTACATAGCAGATGCTGCTACTTATTTATTTGTTTACATTCTGTTTTTAGTAACCATAAAGCTGCAACTCGGATTATTTTCTGTTGTTAGATTCTCTGAGCAGTGCTGTTGTCAGCCATTGGATTTAACAGCTCTTGGCTGACCTCAGTGGGATCAGAGTTTTTTCAGTTTTTTTTTATTGGTAGCCTGTAACATCAGATTGTGGTATTTCTGATTAGTTACCCACTGAAACAAAGCAAAAATGTCATGCTAACAACCCAAGAACTTCTGAAATACTTCTTTCACGTTGCCAAAACAAATATATCCTCAAAATATGCAGCAGTGGCAAAGACACCAGCTGTGGACAAGAGCAGGGATATTTTGCTAACTGCCAAATCAGTGCTGTTTTCTTTTCCACCGTGTAAACTTTGTCAACAAAACTGGTTCTGTGAGAGCTATTGAAAATATTTCACTGTATTCCACATGTGACTGCCACAAATTAACTGCTAAATCTGTAACAAGCACATTTGAACTGGCAAATAGAATTGACATGTTTCTTTGTCCAACTGCATACAATTGTGCTGAGTGGTTGTAGGAAACCACAGTTTCTGTTCTAACAGCTCTTTCTGTTAGTGTCATATTAACATTTATAAAGCTACGTTAATTAAGGTTGTGGCACTCAGCGACAGATTGGATGAAATTTGTGATTCAGGTGGATGATAAGATTGTAACTGCTGTGCCTAGGTGAAATTAGGAAATTCTGGACAACATGAGGTAAGTTATTTGTGGTGTTCTGTAGGCACTACAGTCAGAAGTAATGACAAAGAATATGTATCCTACCATACTGCTTTGTTTCAGTATTTCTGTACTTTTCAGTGGCATGAGAGCTGTGATTGTAAAATGAAGGAGAGGAAAGAAAAATAGAGCTGTGCCCTTTGCAAATGTTTTATTAGACTCTTCTTGGCTTGAGATGAAAGCAGCCACAGCCCCCTGCACGGATTCATCTTGTGCCAGTGTTCCCAGTTAACAGTTAGGTGGACAGTGGTTTTGATTGCGTGCATACATGAACACTCTTCCCCCCTGACATGAGGAAACTGCATCTGTAGTTCATATAAGCAACACGCTGTAAAGTGGAACTCTCACATTTGTTGTGCTATTTTAAGATACCCTTTGCAAACATAATCTCACCGTATAGTGCTTCTGGTACTCTGTGTGTACTTATACGCCATCAGAGACCTCCTACATATCAGCATTGCTCTCCTGCAGGGTCTCTGCTTACTGTCCTGCAGTCTAGCATTTAACTGATTGTAATATTATAAATAGCCATGTGCTACCACACAGAACGAGGCTAGCACATGGCTAATTACGAGTATACAGTAATTAACTATGAGCTAAACTCGCAGGAGAGTCTGTGGTGGTGGTCTATGAGGTATGTAATCAGACTGTTTGTTAAACCTTGGGAGCCTTTCCAGTCTGTTAAGTAACTATACATAGTAATGAGACCATTTTTTAAAAACCGTTTATGTATATTTATGGACAAAAAAATAGTCTGTTTTATTCCTATGCCATGGGTAAATGCTGCTGCCTGATATTTGAATGGTTAATTAAAATATACAACAAAAGGTACATAGGCAACTTCTACCTATCTGTAAGTATGTGGTTATCTGAGCTTTACGTGCGTAAGAAGTGTAGGATATTATCCATTCTTTATGTTCTGCCTTATTTCATGTACGTGAGGTAAGGATGATCATTCAGTTTTTCCTTTTGTATATTTGAAAGTCATGTTTCTAATTTTCTAGAGCATCTGTTTGTCTATCTTCTTGAGCTTTGTCTAAAAGTCTCTTCCTTTTCACATTGTGACAGATTGCAGTTAGGTTTGGTTTTATTTTTCTTCAGGATATTCATTCAGTATTGCTCCAAAAAGCATCCGCACAGTTACAGTGTGAGAACCATGAGGGTTAGGCCCTTTTGCTGGGCTATCTCCTGTTAATTGCTCTTCTTCGTTACCCTGACAGCTGTTACTGTCTGTTCCAGATTACATGAATGAGACCTCTCTTTATAAAATGTCAAGATGTCTACAGGGAAGTTAGATCAGACTCTTTGAAATACATTTGTTACTCCTCTGTACCTATCAAGCCTCAGTTAAGTAATTTGGTATTAAAATTTTTTTTTTATACACAGGTTATTTTCTGATCTATGTCAGTAAGAGAGTGCATCTAATTCTGCTTGAGTAATGTAACATTATTGAGTACAATGAAAACACATGGGATGTGTTCCTTTAAACTAGTATCTTCAGCTGTTAGCACCTAGCCCGCATGTGACAAAGGAAGATAAAAACCTCAGCACCTGTGCCTTAGTTCCCAATTTAGTGCAAGAAAATGGTAAGAACTGAGTTTACCAAAATGTTGTGTACTGAATAGGACTGTTACCCACCTGAGTCCATGGATAGTTCATGCATTCCAGAGCTACTGTTTTGGAATACGTTCATTTTATCTTAACTGCTATTAACAGAAACATTCACGTCAAGGTGGTCAAGCAGACAACAGTATGAAGGACAGCCTGTGGGGGTTTGGGTTGGAATGCTGCCACATTGAACCCAGAGACTGAGTAAAGTTGAAGGAAGATAATGACATCTGAAGAAATCTGTTCGTGATCCTAAAAAAAATATAAGCTTGGCTGGTTTGGTCAAGTTTACTTATTTTTATTATTTTTATTATGTGGATAAAAGTGGTCTATTTTTGGTGTGTGCTGACAGTTGAAGTGTTTCTCACCTGGACTGTTGTTGGTATTTGATCACTGCAAGAAGTTTGAAAGGAGCACTTATTTCCTAGGAACTGTATTCTTTTTACTTTTTTTTTTTTTTTCCAATGATGATTCTAAAAGATGATTTAGTCTCATTAAATTTTAATCCCAGTATAGCTCTCTGTAGCTTCAGTACTATCAGAGAGAGCTGATAGTTCTCTCAGGGTCAGAATTAAATAGAATCACATTGTCTGTGCAGAGAGGTTCTGTCTCCTGGGCTGTAATTGGCACATGTGGTCAATTATTGTTTTGAAATTTCTGATTGTACTGTGGCACAATCCCTCATCTCCACTTTTAGACAGGTGATGGCTATGCTATCCCTAACTTAGGCCAGTGTCTAAATAATGTCAGAATAGAAATCAAGGTTCTGAGGCCAGAGTAATTTGTATTAGAGGAAAGCTGACAATCTTGTCTGGAGGCATAATGTAGGTCATAACTTTTAAGTGGTGTCTTTGTCACGACAGTGGATTGACAGGAACCAAATACAGAGGTTATCCAATTGACTGGTAGTCTATTTAATGGAATACCTCATTGTGGTGAAAACGTGCAGTGGGGACGTCCTGCTTCCTCCTTAGTTAGCACTGGAGGAGAGAGTTCTGAAAATGTGGGTTAAAATTGTTTCTATGCTTGTTGATTAAACTTTTACGGTACTTTGTTGATTTGTTGTTGTTTTTAAATTTGCAAATCTTTGACCTTTAGAAGTAGGAATTCAGATAGAATATTGGATATCTTTGTCATGTGTTTTTCTGATCACCTTAGTTAATCTTAATTTGCTCTTTGCCACTTTATTTCACACAGCTTGATCCTCTCTCATTTTGCAGCTTCCCCTCATACTCACGTTCCAGTAGAAGATGATGCAACGCATGTAATTAAAGTGGTAATGTTTAGATCTCATTTCTATGTTGTTAAGTTGTATACAGAGCTTTCTCTTAATTATCTATCCTTATTGTCAGCATTGAGAGTGTGGTGCATGCTTGTAGTGATTTTTTTAATATATTGTATATGTTTTGTTTTTTTTAACATCTTGATATACTTTCCCTGCTAAAGGATGTACTTGGTGTTCCCACAACACATGGTATTTCCTTGACTTGATTCTTTCTTGATTACTGCCCTGAATAGTTAGCTAAGGAAAATCAAGCTATGGATTCAAACATGTCCGATCTATAGAATTTCTTAAAATAATATCTTAATTCCTGAAAGAATCTGTGTTATATGAAAGTGCATTGCCAAACAACTACTTATTAAAATTGCATTTCAGATAGCATACTATGTGGGAGATGGAAAAAGTGATTTTAAATCTCTTTGAATTTCTCTAGGACCTTTGATTAGAATCTGTTGTCTTCCTGAGGTATTTTATTGTACTGTTTGTTTATTTCTAAGTAGGAGTATCTTGAAAATGGTCCCTTATTTTCTGAACTGAAATTTTACCAACGGGCTGCAAAACAAGAGCAAAGTAAGTAGTATATTAACAAATTAAGAAAACAAAAAACATTTGAATTCTGATTCAGTTAAAGAATAATTTTGTTTTCATTTGTCTGATAAGAACTGATACTTTAGAGCGTGATAGTCAATTCACTTCACATACATTGAACTGGTTTTGCCTGCTGCCTGCTGCAGTGATAATTTTATTTTGCTGTAAGTTTCTTTATTTCAATGTTATCTTTGTTCTTTCCGATTGGAAGAGAAAACAGAAGTATGACAAATGTGTTAGAAAGTGCACAACAATGTATGGACCCCAGGGAGCCATCAGCCTTAGAACAGAAGTACTTCACTGACCGATTTGCAGCTGTAATTCTGCAGGTTACTGTTCCCATGTACAAAGTTGGGAACGTGTGTAATCATCACAGGATTTAGTAGTAATCAAAGCACTTGATTCCACAGACACTTTGGCATGGATTTGATTTATTTGTGGGAACTGTCCTAAAGACTTCCAGTGACTGAAACCACTGATAGGCATAAGCACTTGTGATAACTTGAAGCACTCTGTATAAAATGAAGTAGTGCTTCCGAAAGACTTATTTTGACAGCTACTGATAATTGTTTGTCTGCCTTTGAAGGGAACAAATTGCCATGTTGCTAGAAAAACAAATACTTCCTGTCTGGGAGAACACAGAGAACTTCAGGATAAAGCTATGATTTCTTGTTTGCTACGCTAACTGCAAAATAAGTCACACTTGTTTCATTGTTTGTTCTCAGTTTTTGCTCAATAGCTAAAAAGGAAATGAAACTGAAAATTCTCTAGTTACCTTTAACCCAATTTTATATTTTCTTTATTACTATTTCAGTAAGAAAATGGATGACTCTCAAAAAAATAAGGTGCTTAGGAATCCCAGTGTTTTGGGGATCAGGCTTGGCTGAGCACAAAGGAAAAAGGTAATAAGATGAATTGAAATTGAGCTTGAAATTGACTGAAGATCACTTTTCAACAAAATGGAGCTGCCACGAAAGTGCAGTCTTGTCTCTAGGGTATTCTCCCTTTTGTATATTTCTGCATAGCTATAGATTCATGGTCATGGAGAGACTGGGGGAAGACCTTCAAAGAATCTTTCAAGACTGTGGAAGCAGATTTAAGAAGGAGACTGTTCTACAACTTGGGGCACGAATGGTATGTATACAGAGAAAGCAAATTGCTGTGCCTCAAATTGCTGAATCCAACTTAGAAAATCATCTTCCTGAAATGATGAAGTTAATTTAGGTAGCTGTTGAGTTTAGAAATTAAATGTATGGAACTGGTGTGCATTTCCTTAATTTTTTTCATTCTTTTAAAAATACAGTTAGCATGAAGTGTAAGATCTGTGGATTGAATGTTGGGAAGCTCAAACCATACTTTTTCTAATAGGTGAAAACAGACCATACGCTTCAAAAAGTGTGTCTAGACTGAGCTGTGTAAGCCCATTCTCATGCTTTAACATGTATTGATTTTTTTTTTCTTTCAGTGTTTGAAGGCTATTGTATTAGACATCCATATTTGTCAAAGTTCACAATTGCATGCTTGAATGCAAAAATTTGTGTGTTTGCTGAACTGTACTACTCCACTGGTAGTATAGGCAGGATAAGGCTGGTTTGCAAATACCAGTTTCAATGACCAGTTCATCTGGCATGTTCTAACAGAACATTGTATTATGTGCTCATTTGTGCTTTAACTTGTTAAAGACTGTTAGTACTGAACAGAAGTGCACAGCAAGTGGAGCAGAGGCAATGGTCATAAGTTGCAAGAAGAGGAATTCTAATTGAATCTTAAGGAAAAGTTTTTGCAGAAAGAATAGCATTGCTCTAGAGCGTGTATCCCAGAGGTTGGACAACACCCATCATGGGAGAGTTCTAAAGCTTGACAGTACAACTGACCTAACTTACATTACCACTGCTTGAAGCAGAGTTTTAGACTGGACGCCCACAAAGTTTTCTTTAATCTAAAACAACAATAACATAAGGTGAAGGGCTCTTACAGTTGTATCATTGATAAACTTTGAACACTCTTTGGCTATTTTTATACTCTTCAACAGCCAAGATTGCCCTTTTATGAGTTGCCAAGTGCACGCATTTGTTTTTTAAGTATCAGAGCTGTTAAGTATCAGTAAAGAGCTGAAGAAACATGGTAATGAGGAGGGGATAGTGATATGAGATGCAGGCCACGTAATAATTGTCAGGATCAAACATGTTACAAGCCTTCAGGTCTGATTGTGTGCTCTTCTGATATTCCTCCAGAGTTTATAAAGTGCTTTCTTTTGCTTTGTGACCTGGTATTCTTATGGCAGTTAGACAGGGATACTCATGGCAAAGTAGAGCTTTGGACCCTGTGGACATGTGCTCTAACTAATAACAGTCACCTCAGTCTGTGTAGCCCTTGGCTTCACTGTGTAAGTCTGAAATATTTGCTGGTGGAGTTAAATGTGGAGTGGAGATGATGCTTTCTTTTTTGTTTTAAATCCCTTTATAGCTGGATACTCTGGAATATATACATGAAAATGAGTATGTTCATGGTGACATTAAAGCAGCAAATCTGCTTTTAGGCTACACCAATTCACATGAGGTAAGAATGTTTACTTATCTACACTGTTACACTGAAGTTTAAGTGTTCAATAGCTTGCTATGTATATTCTTTGTTAACAGCAACTTATTAGGAGAAGTTGGGGCATGAATATTCACATCCTCTCATGACAAATCCAGTAATGACTCTAGAGCTTTAGGTTTGAGAAAGAGAACAATGAGTTTTGTTCAGATTCTTAGTGCTCTGCTGACTGGGATAGTGGTAAGGGGCAGGTAAATTGATCAACTGAGTAAGTTAGAGGAGCTAACTAGTTCTAGATTATGCTGGTTTAAGTATAGTCGTAGGATTTAAGGATGTGGCCCAACTCTTGGGATGTTCTAGCTTTCTAATATTGTTGTGAATTGTGATTCTGCATCTCTGAGTCTTGTTCCACTTGTAGTAGATATGGCAGGTGAGTAGGATTAAAGTCTCTAAGACCCTAAAGTTAGCTTTGAAATTGAAGTGTTTTAATAAAATGTTGTGAAACAGAACTTTTGATCCTGTCATATTCTTTATGATCTTACCATGTCTTTTTTCTTAATACAATTTGAGTATTATTTTTATTGTATGTGGGGAAAAAAATCTCTAACTTCACTTAAGTATAGTTAACTGTAAGCAATAGTTCTCCTTTTTTTTTCTTTCCCTAACACAGTGATGAAGAAACAGATACTGTGAAACAGCTCATTGCCATTAAAGGTTGAGCCATTAAATTGTATCTGCTTTCTTAAAAGTTTCAAGTTAAATGGTTGACTCAAAATTATCTTTTCAGCTTTCTAAAATACATAGTTTAAGAAGTATCATGACTTAGAAAGCAGCCACATTTTTAGACACTGGTAGCAGCCAGTGCATAATCTCACTTTATGATGTTTACCAGCCTGCTGAATCTGGGAAGAAGGCTATTTAGAAGCAGAACGATCTGCTACCCAATTCCATTAACATAACTCAAATGACTTTTTTTTTGTCTTGACTATTGTGTATTTTTATGACAACAAAATACGCTGCTGTTTTTCACATTGAAATCATTTTGGAAGTGTCCGTTGACAGTAATCATAAAATTTTAAGGCATGTGGCTGACTGTGATCTGGTGCTGTTGACTTAGAAGATCACCCCACAATAAAGCTTTATTTTTCATGTTGTCTGCATGAAGATTGTTACTAGTATTTAGTTTTTGTGAGTAGTGTATTCACTGACAGATTGAAAATAATTTTGAGTGAAAATATAGTTTACTAAATACAGAAAATAGATATTTTAGCTGGAGTAGCTCCTAGCTCAAAATGTACAAAGTGTAAGCTACTGCAGAGATATTGTTTCAAATTTTGTTTTGGTAAAATGTGTTTTCCACTGAAATGATTCTGTAAAACAAATAAAACACATAGTTAGGAGGGAAGGATTTCTAATACTTGTTTGCCTTGGTAAAATGTGAATTTAAACTTGTGTTTCTATTTGCTTAAGAAAACTCAGAGCTGTTCAGATATTGCTAAGTGAGAGTGAGGTTGAACTTAAACTCCGTAGTCACAGGTCCCCACAGTTCTGCAAGTGCCATGGATCTACAGGTTTCACTGAAAGCAGGATAGCTACTCCATGCTAGACTTGGAACCACATTAACAGAGCCTAAAATTGTAACATGGATGTGTGTGTGCGTGTGGTGATCATTAGAGATGTATTTTAAGGTAATGTTTACTATATTTAACTTACACAGGGCACTTGTCTCAATTGAGACAGATTTTGGTCAAATAAAAACAGATTTCCCAGATGTGGCTTGCCAGTATCTTAAAACATGTGGGCTCTGTGGCTTGTTGGAATAATCTTAGCAACATTGCAGCTGAAGTTTTAATATTAGAAGATGTCATGGAATTCAGTACACCTTCCCCTGAAATTGGTTACTTTGGTGTGCTGTCTGCCTTCTGTGCTTCACTAATTTTTCTTGGCACTCTACATGTAGGTAGGCTCAGTACTGGACAGTATCTTCACACAGACTTGAGCATTCAGAATGGTGCATGTATACTTGTACCTCTTGGCCAAGTTCACATGCCTACAATTTGGATGTAATTTTGGTATGAAAGTTGCTTCTTCTTGTGTTCAGATGTCCTGTTCCTATTGTAAGGCTTCATGATGTTTGGACAGTCTTTACAACATGCTGCTGAGCTGATGAATATCTTATGGTTTTATTGCAGCAGTATTTTGGAAGCTCTGTGAGGCCCCACCACTGACTCAGTGTGATAGCAATGTGGAATAATCTGTCCCGTGTCCTTCAAATAGTTGTCAGAGATGCTGTATTTTAATTTGGCAATCTTGCATCAATCTTACGCACTTCAGTTAAAACCTCAAACACTATTATTACCACAGAATGTCTGTGGAACATGTTTTGCTCAATCTGCTTTCTCTGTTAAAATGGTGGGTAGTTAGATTGCCTTGTTGTGTTTTATAAAAGCAATGGAATTGAGAGGTAGACTGGTCAAGATAGTTTCACATTTAGGAAGCAGGAGCATCTAGCCAATGGCAGAATCAAACTCAGGAGCAGATGAGCTGGGAGAACTCTAGCTCCAGGGAGTAGCATAACAAAGCTGACTGACTTAACAGTTTATGTGGTGAGTTTTTGCTATGTATTTTATGTTAGAGAGTTATTACTCTCTAGAATTAAGGATTTTAATAGAAAATAAAATTGAAGTGTAATTTTAATTATAGAAGTTCTGGTTTTTAAATGGGATCTATAAATCTCTATATAGAAATACTTTTCAGATTTTTTTATGTTGTTTTGGTGAAGAGACAGATCTCTATGCAAAAAAGCATGTGTATATTTCTACTGAGCTTTGCATTTGTTTGTTATTTTGTGGTTGTTGATGTGTACTATTATGTCCAAATTTGCCTCTGATGTCCTGCAGTTCCAGAAAAGATCATTTCTCTGTGTTAAACTTTCTGCTCTTATGCTGTCTTGTCTATAAATTAACCTAGTACGCTTACACTGCTGCCAATAAATATCAGTCCCTTCTTGAAATAACGTGAAATCCATACTGCTATCCTTTACCTTCCATGGCAAGACAGAAAACCAAATAAAGTAAAGGTCCTGTCACTCTATGACCTCCAAATGATGTTTAGATATGGTTAGAAGATCAGAAATCAACTGACCTCAAAGAGCAGCTAGCTGCAGATCTATTCAATAAAAGGGAGCGAGGCCATTCAGTGAGTTACAGGTCAAAAGATCAATTCTCTAGTCAATATGTTTCTGAACATGGACCCAGCACAATGACTGACAGAACAGCAGTGATGTACTGAGGGAAGTACACAGCCCATGAATCTGGGAGAGGCCTGAAAGCAAACTTGAAGTGATCAGACCTGTAAATTACAGAAGTGAAGCACTGTCTCAGTATTGTGGGGAGCGTCACAATTGTCTTGAAGGGTAGTAACTGTATGATAAAGCAGTAAGTGTTGCTCTAGAAGAGGAATTTGAATCCACTAAACTCATTTAAACAGTAATACTGTTAAAAGAGACAAATGGGCGCCAGAGAAAAGCTTAAGAGTAGAGTTCGTAATGAGTGAAACGAGGTTTGGTAGGCTCTCTCTTCAAAAGGTTTATTGTAGCATTTTTTTTTCCATGCAGTGTATGGGCAGACATGCTGCAGTGTTGCAGACTGTCAAGACTGTACCACAAGCCATGTGTTTAGATTTTTAAGCTGCAGGCTTTAAAATTGGATTTGCATCTGTTTTGACTTAGCTTTTAAGTTTTTCGTAGGCATCATAGTTAAAGAATAAAATTTGGACATAAATCATAAATGGTCTGAATTGAAAATGAAAAAGGAGAATGAAGAAACATTTGAGAATATTAACTTTAAGACTAGCTTTCAGTAGAAAAGTACAAAGATGTAAAGTGCATGCATTGGTCATGTGGGAAAACATGCATGAAAATAATTCCAGCTTTAAGCTGTTTTTCATTGTGTGATGAATCAGTGTGACTTCTGCTCTTTAGACCTGCTTGACAGATTTGCTTAAGAGCAGGTGAATTGAGAAAAATGAAATTCTTCTGTTCTCTCTGTGTTTTAGGAAGGGTACAATACACAGAGATATCATACAGAAACTAACACATGGAGCTGGCTAAGATGTATGCTCACATTGGTTCAATTTATTTTTGTAGCTATGGGCCAAATGTCGTGGACTTCAACTAGGATTCGTTCCTGTTCCTCTTCTTGGCTATAGAAAACAAACAAACCAAGAAAGAGCAAAAGCACACTGTTACAGAAGAAAAGGAGAGCAAAGAAGCTAGACTAGGATCCCAGAAATGGCTTAAGATTTGGCCTGCAAGGAAGTCATTGATTCTTTCTGTAGTTGAATGAGTCTGCAAAGGGGGCTGGTTTCTTCAGTAGGGTTTGAGAAGTGAAGTAAAAGCAAAGATTGGTTTAAGCACAATTTCAGCATTGTGATGAGCTTGACATTCTCTTGATGTGAGATATATTTCAAAAATATTTATTTAGAAAGATAGAGGTACTATTGACACTTATTCACAGTGTTCAGAAGGAACGTATATAGTAGCATTTTATCTTTGAATTGTTTATGCTTTAGCTTCTACAGAACTTCTGATATAACTGCTGTTTTCCTTGGGTTTTCTACTTTAGTGTTAGTCCTGCCTGTGAGATGGGAGCCACTGCAAGTATTTCCCTCTAACTAGACTCAGTCCTCTTAGTCTACTTGATGCTTGCCTTTTTCTTCCTTGTGTATAAAGCTTGTAATAAATGCAGTTCCAGCCAATATGTTCTTTCATCTTTACTTGCTACATCTTGGCAAAATTCAGACATTTAATAAAACATTAAAACTGTGTAATGCAGCACTTCATTTATGTTTTAACAGTAATGTTACTACTTTGCCAATATTGTTACTCCTAATTTCTTAAGTGTACATTTCTCTAGAATCCCATCTCTTCCTTCATTTTTTTTTTCTGGCTCCTCATTCCATTCTGTATATATGAGCAATGAGCCTGTCTCTCACTGCAAACTGTCCTCTTCAAGTGGATGAGCCTTTTAGAGCCTGAATGTAGAAATTCAATGCTGAAAAGTGTTGGAAGTGGCCTGAAATCCCTCCCACAGATGATTTCTTTCCCTCTCTTTTTTATTTATTCTTCTTCTTGCCTTTATTGGCTTTTGTTTAGTAAAAGATGCAGTTTCTATACCAATCACTATACTTAAAACTTTTCGTCCTGAGATGGGCTCTGATCCCAAGATCTATTTTAGCCTGTTTTTTGTAGTATAATGTTCAAAGGAAGCTGACAGTTCTATCACCATTGGCAACCTGCCTCATATTAGTAGATGTTTGCTTAATTATTTGCAGTGCCTTGCATAAACTTAGTGGAACCACTGAAAATGAATTGGAAAGGGAAAATCTCTATGTTGTGATCTGTTCAATGATGAAGTTCCTGTTCTGTGTACTTCAAGAGAGAATATACCCGAAGAATCCAAGGTGTCAGACTTACAGCTTCCCCAGCCAGTGCAGCTATATGAAATAACACGTACAAGTTGTAAGAATTTTATGTTTAGTAGATATTTAGCACTTTACTTATAAAAGCATTGTGTAGGAGTCACACACAGAAAGGAAAGGAGGACTGAATCTACAGCTGGTTGCTTGTGCATGTACATAATTATTTGTGCATGTAAATAATTATTTGTGCCTGTGTGGCGATGCTTGCTTGAATAAGATAGCATATGTGTGTTTGCATGAAATTAAGTGCAAAGATTTTAAAAATCTGGCTTCTAATCTGTAACAAAATCTATTAGTAGCAGACCATGCTAGGCACTCCTGAGTCTAGTGCAAACTGGGATGCATTTTAAAAACAAACAAACAAGAACCCTGAGAAGAATCAACGGGGTTAAAATAAGTGTGGGGGAAGGAGGAGTATATAGCATAACACAGCTAAAACCAGCTGTTCTAGGTTTACATCACTTGCACCTTAATCATCCTTGATATTTCTTGTTTGCAGTGTCTTGCATATCTTATTCTGCACATTTTCTTTTTCTTTGTTTGTTTTGTTGTCCTGATAGTTTGCAGATGAAAAATGTTTAATTTTGGAAAACATGTTAACACTCACTTAATATTTCTCAATATTCTGTAATACTCATCTTCCTTTTCCCCTTCCTATGCTCTTTTTAAAATAATAAAACAAAGCAAAAAAACCCCTACGAATTATTTAGCTATCCTTACCTACCATGTTCTGGGCAAATTTAGAAGGGCATGCTGTGGTACATTATCAAAAAGTGAAAAGCAGCTATAAAGAACTATATATCTTTTTAATGATGAAGGGGCTATAATGAGAATTGATGAAATGAAATTAATGGTAATTTAAAATAATGTAGACATTCTAATAATAGTTGTGACAAGGTTGTAACAGTGCATTGCTGGTTTTGTACAAGCTAAGGGGACTCATTTTGCAGGTGGCCAAAAAGCTTTCTGTTGAGAAGCTGCCATCAGCTTTGTGATTATGGAAAAGATGTGGTGTGAGGGCTATAGAAGTGATAAATGGCTCGGCCAGAAGAAATGGGCTGAGCAGTGACAGACGTGGCCAACTTTGGAACAAAGTTGTGTGCTCACAAACACTGCATGATGAGTGGCCTTAAGAAGTCACTGCTTTTGGGTTTCTGTGTGTTGCCTCCTTCAAGATAGGGTAACCTATAGCTACTTTTAGGTTGTTGTTTTTTTTTTTTTTTCTGCTGTAACTTTAAAATTGCTTTACTGATAGTAATACTGATGGTATTTAAAGCAACTTAAAATGTTGCAAGCAATACTTAAAACTAGATCAAAGAATATGGAGTTATTGTGGATGAGAGGCAGTAACTTCTTTACAAAGTTCAAGTTTTTTGACTGGTAAGTATTGGTGGCTACCCTTACAGATGTCCTGCTGTTAAGATGTCTGAAAGACCAAGGCTGGGCTGCCATCTTGAAAAGGTCTAGCATGTTTCTATCAGTCCCAGCTCAAATAGAAGCAAAGAGCTGTTGGAAATGCTTGTCTTTGATTGTTTTCTTCTAATGGCTAAAATCTCATTTGAATGTAAGATAGAGTCTGATTTTTTTTAAAGGTTCAAGTCCCCTTTGGGTTTCATCTTACTGTACCTGATCCAGCTGTATAGGCAGTCTGTAATCAAGCCAAATCCAGAACTTACTACTTACGTGGGGAAGCGTATACCTTCTAGCCTACTTTCCTTCCCAGCCCACCAAGGATGAAGAAGTCTCTCAAAACTTGGTATTACGGAACTTTGAATTAGTTCTCTCATATTGACTGTGAGCTCAATTAGGACAGGTATCAAACAATCAGGAATATGCTGGAGACTGAATGTAGGAGGAAATCAAATCAGTGAACCCAACAAAGTTTATGCCCCATCCCAGATTTTCTGAATGTGCCTACAGTCTTTAATCTTGTATCACAGTTTGTATAGTCTGTCAGGTGAAAAACATAATCGGTAATCTTAAAAGCCATCACCCTGCAGGAAATGAGTGCTGCATCCCAGCTTACACGCTCCAAATAAGCACAGATCCTGCAGCAGAAACACTAAAACCAAGAGACCAGCCATCCCAGGATTTGAAGCTGCCTGGAGCACAAACAGGAATCAGTAATTCAACAGCATGCGCTGCAAAATGATGCACTAAGTTTTCTTGAGGGTTTTTTGTTTGTTTGCTTTTCCTCTACCAGAAGTGATGTAATTAAATTAAAAGTGAATTCTGGAAGAGTTTATTTTAGACTGTTATACAGTAAGCTATTTTTTTAGCTGAAGAGGAAACAAAACTAAAGATAGAGTAAGAAAAAGGTTTTCTTTGTAATACAATTTAGCAAAAATGCTGTTAGATGATTCAGCTTCAGCACCACAGGTTAGTTCCACTGGCAGTATAATGGCAACCTCTAGCTTTATTCTATTTTATTTTTTTGTGAAAGGACTGTCCTTAGAGATTTATTTTAAAAAATAAATAAAAGCAGTTCTCTAATGTGACAGCTCGTCAGTGGGGGGAGGAAGCTGCCAGGTGAGCATGTGTAAATGACCAAGTGAGAAAACAAGCTTTGGGATATTAAGGGGTGGATGTATTGTGATTAAGGTCCAGCTGCTTTTTTGATACGCCGTGGTAATTGACCACATGCATGTATTAAATCCTCCATTGTTGGAGGGTAGAAAGTGTTAATCTGAACTTCATGGAGTGAACTTGTCCTCAGTCTAAGTGGCAGAACTGACATGGATGCAGTACTCCATGCACTATGCTTAGAGAGAAATGGGTACCAGGTGATAGGATGGGGGCCATCTCGACAGGCAGCACAGGAGCACTGATTTAACTCCGTGGATTTACTTCAGAGTAACTTAGAGTGCCGTTTATCTCTGTGTCTTTTTAAACATTAGTTTGGACTCAGGAACGATTTATGAAGTTTGCTTTCTGGGTTGTAGGGGATACTGTTTTGTTTTGCTTTGTTTTATTGTACGCATTCTGTTAAAATAACCATTGCCAGCATTAAGTTGCTGGCAGTGGCATCCAAGAAGATGAGCCTATGGTGAGGCGAATGCCCTGCACTCCGTTGGCCATGGCCCCTGCTAGCACTGGAGTTCAGTGTGCTGGGGGGGGGAGCTGCTGCCACGTGGCACGTGATGAAGCTCTGCAGTCTCAGCTGATGGAGAGTTTGAACAGGAGAGTGTTCTAAGTAAGGGGAGAAAGGGGTCCCACAAGCAACGTGCGGATGCATAGAAGGCATATTGCAGTTTATGGTGTCTAGGTGCCCACCTGGAGAGGAGAGAGCTTAGGAACAAGATAAAAAGACTGAAATTCTGCTCGGCTCTGTTATAAGATAAAGACTGTAGTAGTAGAAGGATTTAAATGGGGAGGGCAGCTGTTATAGCCCCCAGTTGTACATATTTTATCCTGAGGCACCATTTGGTTTAATAAAATTTAGATCTAAGGCTGTCCTTAATCTATCAGTTTCTTAAGACTTAATTATAAAGGTTATACTTTCAAAGGACAAAAGCATTATTCATTTGTCTGTTCATGTCTTCCAGGTTTATCTTGCAGATTATGGACTTTCCTACAGATATTGTCCCAATGGGAACCACAAACAGTATCAGGAAAATCCTAGGAAGGGCCATAATGGGACAATAGAGTTTACCAGCATAGATGCCCACAAGGGAGTAGGTAGGTTTCTTTTTTGTATTTCAGAGAAGTGATTACAGAATGAGTAATCAGGCTGTGAGAGCCGATGTATACAATACAAGTAGTCATGGGGATTGCTTGGGGTTGATCAGACCCTTGTGTGGTGACCTCTTCTTGTACCTGCAAGCACTTCTTCAGTGCTGATGGGAAGGGGGGCAGCACAATTTAAACTGAAAGGCTGCTGCTTGCGTGGTACAGGAAGGGGGACTGAGACGCCCTAAGAAAAGCTCGCCATTAAGCTTAATTAGTTCGTGTTGGAAGTGCTGGGTTGTATTGCTGTACTGTGTAGAGACAGAGGCAGTGTTTGTTAATGTTGCATTGTCAAGGAAAAATGTTTCAAGTTTGCGCTGTCCTTTAGGGAGAGCTGTGTCTGAGTGTCACCATCTGTGTTGTAAGAGGGTATTTCAAGATATTTCTCCTTCTGCAAGGAGAAAAACCTTTTCTGAAGCCATAAAGTGTTAACTTTTTGAAATCTTTTTCCAGTAGCCTTTCATATATCTTACTTATTTAAACTCACTTTGATGGTATTGGAAACACATTTGCAGGTAAATTACATACATAGTCCTTTTATTGGATATTGATTGTACTGCCTTGCATTCCAAGGCAGACTTAATTCAACAATTCCCTAATTAGTTAAAGTCATAACCTATGTCTTGTATTCATTTACCATTAATTAAACCTTAGCTGTTTATTACACCGCAGTCCAAATCCAATAGCAGACCCATAGAGCCATGGAAAAGGGAATGGGAGGTCAATATCGAAAATATATGGTGCAGAGTCCCTCTGATGGCTGCATTGTTCACAATCAATATGGTCAATGCAACACAACTTTCTTAGTTGCTATGTCAGCAAGACAAAAAGTCAATTCTAATGTTATGCTAGTGAAAAAATGGTGATTATTGACAAACTTTGACTCTTGCTACAAAACAGTGTTTTTGTTAAACTTTTCTTCCTTTACTCCCCCCTTCCACCCCCAAGATCTTCTAAAACAATAGGAATGGTTTTCTGTTGTCAGTTTTGCTAGAACCATAACGTCACAAGTGATAACTGCTGAAATTTGTGCTCGTTAATAGCTGCTGGAGTGTTACCTTAAACTAATACTTTCTAACGAGTTTTAGTTGGCACAAACAACTGTGTATTATTGCTTTTTCTATTAAAAGGGCCATTGACCATGTAATGTAGAGGGTCTTGATAATTTGCCGGCACTGTTAAAGCCTGCAATCGTTTAACTCTGGTCATTAGGAAAAATGAAATAAGACTGTCAAGTATTTGCTGCTAAAAGAATTGCACAATTTCACCTTCTAAAAAATATTTGGTGATGAAGAGGACATCTGTTTCAGCCTCTTCTAACCTGCCCAGTGCATTTTCTGGAGGTTTGACTCCTACTTGTGTTCCTGATTCTGAGAGGTACATCCGTGTACTTGTATTTTATGTGGGCACTGTGAATATGTGGGGCTCAGCAGTTGAGTAGCATCTACCTGGTCTGGTAGAGCATTATCTGTTGTTGATTGCTTGATTAGAAGATCGGTAATTGCCTTTATTTGAAAGGAGAAGGAAATTTTAATGGAAATGTGTGGCAAAGCATGTCCGTATTCAACCGTAAGTTTTTGTATTTAGCAAGTTGGTGGGTTGGATTGCTTTCTCAGGTAGCTAAAATCATGCTGGAATTGGTGAAAGCTGGCAGACTCTAGAGAACAAAATATTCAGAAAGGTGGATTGAAGGGGTGTTTCCCCTATCTTACACTTGAAAAATTTATACTTCATAATAGCTGCGAACAGAAAGTCTGCAGTTTTTTCAGTTGCTTCCACCAGAAAAGCCTGCAGAACATGATATCTGGTGTGTTGCAAAGAATCCAAACTGTTCATACTGAATGTCTCAGCTCTGACTTTGTAACAGCCTGAATCCATTAAGGTCAAGTTACCAGTTTCTTGTATGCAGCAGGTCTCTCAGCATCCCAGGGAAAATATGCATCTGCAGTGACTTCTGCCAAAGATTCCACAGATCCAGATGGCAAAATACAATGACTGGTTTCGCTCATCTCATATCTTGTTGTGAGCTTCAGATTTGCAGAGATCTTTTGAGAAGCTAAAGGCCTCCAACAGCTTTGCAAAGGGCTTTTCTCAGCAATCTCCTTTATTCCTGACGTATGATTGAGTCTCTCAAGCACAGTCTCAAGTACCAAGTGAGAGGGGATGCTCTTCTGAAAAGTGTTTAAAGGGTGCAGTACTGTTGCCAAATTACAGCTGCGTAGATAGCCTTAGTTCTGGTGTTACCCAAATTTTCAGCATGGAATATGTTTTACTTGAGTGCTCTCAGAATGTAGTTCATTTTTAAAAATGTTATTTTATATAAATGAGATCTTTTCCAGAGGGCATTTTCTGATAAATGTATTTCAAACCTTAAGCCCTCTAAATAAGTACCAGTTGCTGTATTGAGGTGCACAAATGAGAACATTCTGACTTGCTCTGGTTTTATTCATAAAGTAGCTACCTGAATATATGCAGTGATTTGAGATGCATGCTGAAACTTAAAACAAAATTATGAATTTGTTGCTTTCAAAAGTGCCTCTTGGCAATGCTTGAAGCTGATAACCTTCTTGCATAAAGTCAATCAAATGCATCCACTTCCTACTAATTTAAATCAAAACTGGTGTTTCCCTAGCTGAATTGAGATTAACCCAGCTGCATGCCTATTTATTCCCCAAGCTTGTTGTGGAGCTCATCACTTGTAGAAGTTATACAGTCCATGAAGATCCAGAAAGTTTCACTTTGGAGCAGTACAAATAGTCCATGTTTGTCCGGTAGCCTCTTGTAAGGGTTGAGATGGATGTGCCATTCTAGGAACGGATGTGAATTGCATCTTCAAGCAAGCTGACTTAGTGTGTGCCAGCGTGACCTGTTAGTGGCTTTGTGCTGGAACATGAGGGGAATTCTTGTGAGCTGGGAATGGCAGGGAGGAGCTGCTCTGCTTGTTTCTTGGCTCTTCATGTTGGTTTTAGTTTTTGCAAGAATTACACAGTTCACACGTTCACTGTCCATTGTGTGGATGCCTACCTGTGCAACCTGGTCTAGGGAGCCTGCTTTGGCAGGGGGTCGGACTAGATGATGTCTAAGAGGTCCCCTACAGTTCTGTGATTCTGGCCCTGCAGACTGGCTCTCCTGTGCTCTCCGGGATTTCTGAACTTCTGGATGTTTGCAGGTATTCACCATAACTGCAGCTGTATTTTTCTCATACTTGGAGTTCATCCTCAGTCAAACCAGGGCCACTCTTGGGATTTTTTGCCGCAGAATCCTACCCTCAAGACCAGCTCTCTGCAGTTGGTGACTGGATCTCTTTGCAAATGGTGTATGGCCAATAAGCAGTGCTGAACGTGTCACTGTGTACTGCGTTTGTTAAATGGACCTCCTTTTTACTGTGATGCAAATTCCATATTGCACAACTGCTCTGTTAATTTTAGCAAAGCACTTGAGTATGCATTGTACTCAGTTTTAATGACCATTCTATATAAACTGTATTACATTGTCTGTTGATTGATAATTAAATAGAATTATATCTGTACGCAATGTACATTTAAAAAATTGTTATATAGTGTTAAAATGTAATATTTGGATCAATGCCTCTTATGGATTTTTGTAGATTTTCTACTCACTGAGGCATGCAGTCAATACCTAATTTCTCTGGAGATATACTGCGCTTAACATATTGAGTTTTTTTAAATACTCCAGTCCTGTGCATTGAGTGCATAAGACCAATTTTAATTTGCTGTCGTTGATGAGCGTGAGACTATGAACCGTCTATGCTGAATTCCCTCCAACATGTGTTTTTTGCCATAGATTTCGAGGTAACTCTCCTTTTTAACAAATGTTGCATGGTAAGTTAGTGGTTTTGCCATCTCACATTGAGCAGAGTGACTACCAGCATCCCTGCAGGACTGATACCTGCATCTGAAAGACAGCAGTGGTGACTTACGACAGGCATAAGGCTAAGCAGAGCATCTGATGGAGTTTGCCTCAGTAAGGGCTGCTTTGTTAGTCCTGTGCTGGGGGAAGACAGCTGCAGCTCCACTTGATGCCACATTTCAGCCAGATCTTTTTACCCTTCCCACTGGGTTACTGCAGCCTGGCTTCTCACAGTCCATCCTGATGTTCATATACAGTGTTTGTACAGGGCATGCAGCGTTGGGCTGATTGTAGAGACAGCTCTGCAGTTCTTGTTCTTGTTTTCCCTGTGGATCTGACAGAGCTGTTGCTGTTTGATATTAAAAACATAGCTTGGTGCTTGTCCATTTTCCCTTTTCTGTTACATGCGAGGGTTGACTTGAATATCTGCAGGGCTCATTTTGTGAGGAGGGATGTGCAGGAATATAAACACCTGTGCCTGGAAAAAAATTCTTTCTGAGCCTGCATGGCTTCTAGAGAACTTCAGCTCTAAATGGCTTTGGATCAAGAGGTTTATTTGGCATCTGTCCATGTATAGTAAGGAGTCAGAGGGACTGCATTTTTTGTCGGTCACATGAATTATTGATTTGCTGCACTTTGGTGCGTGCCTCCCAAAGACTGTGTGCAGGACAGACTGTAAATCTAAAAATGAAAAGAAAATATAACTGATAAAAAATGGATGGAACTTTGCAGTGTGAAATAAATAAAATGATGTTTTAGTTTCTGAATATTGGATTGGAAATGTGTCCACAGTAGAAGAGGGAGCAGAAGGTCATGGTAAGCACAGGCAGAGTCAGGCTTTAGAAGGAAAAGAAAGAAAATTGAATAGGTTCTTAAAACCACCTCTGTAAGCTTATTCTGTCCTACCAGAACAGTCAGAAGTGGCAAAAAGATGATGTTGTGCATCACCATTTTCCAGCACAGCTGATGAGTGTGGCTTGGAATTAGCAGTTTTCTTTAATTTTGGTTTCTCATGCTTTACCAGGAATTTAAACAGCTAGTGACCCTCACAGCTGCTTGTCAGCCCTTTATCTATGTAGTTTTTTTATTTATCTTTACAGAGGAGTAAAACTTCTTGTTTCCATGTGTTCTGCTTGCTGCAGTCCAGGACCTTTCGCTTCCAACCCGGTACCTGTATCTCTTGCCTCCACCATTTTATCTCCCACCCAGATCTCATTGTGAACTTCCCTTGCTTTTTCTTCCACTCCCTCTTCTGCTGTGAACACATTTCCAATCCAGTCTCTCTACCTTCCCATTACTTAAATTTCACCCCACCAAATCAGGACACTTCAGCACATCCCATCTCACCAATCCTGGTTTTTATTCCCTCCCTGCCTACGAGGATCACGATTTGGGAATATCTGGCCTGCAGGACCTGCCAGCTCTCACTGTACTCGGGCATGGCAGGACAGAACAGTAGTGTCGCTGCTTTTGTGGCTCTTGAGGTGAGTGATGTGGCTGCTGTGCAAAGATTGCATCCAGTGGCTTATGTTGCTGTGCTGATGTTGCCGTGCAGGCAGCTGGCCAGCTGTGGCCATGCCTTTGGGAGGATGTGAGCCCTCCGCACTGGGGCTCATGTTGCCACTTCACCCACCTGTGGTGAGCTGAGTGCTGGGAGTTCCATGCCTCTCAGCCCTACAACTGCATAGCCATGGGATTTGAGTTTGGGATGGAGACCAGAGCTGGCATTGGATGAGTTGCTTATTGCCATTGCCCAGGTTGAGTTATCTGGAAGAGGTGTATTCCAATTGTAGCAACACAGCGTTTGCACTGGATTTATTTTTCTTTGTGGTTATTAGCTGTGACTGTTTCTGCACAGTGCCAAGTTAACTGTGCAGAACCATGCATGTGGGAAGCAGAGACTGCCCCAGCCCTTGCTGGCAGCTGTCCTGCCTGAGGCTGGGTAACTCTGTGTAAATGGCCTCCAAGCACTGCAATTCATTTAGCTTTTTTGCTTAGCTGTATTTACCTAACCTTTTCCTATAGCCATCCATTTGATTTTTCACTCAAAAAAAAAAAAAAAAAAAAAGCCACTTTTATTTCATTTATTAAAATATTATGGTAGAAATGTATCATTACTATAATATTTCTCCGTAGTCATGTTAACACTCCTTTTCTTTATGGGCTTTTGGATTAATGGCTGTGGTGTAAGTTATATTTGTTTGTGATTTAATATGAATTTGTATGCTGTAATGCCAATGAGAATGGGAGGTTCCAGTTCATGTAGACACAAGATGAGCAGCTAAAATGATCTTTTTTTTATGAAAATCTTCCAATTTAAAGAAAAGCTAGTGGCAAAATTGTAATGCAACAGTGCTAATTAAAAATAATAGGAAAACATTTCATTTATTGCTCATTAGCCTCCCGGGTTCTTACAAAAGCCCTGAGAAAGTTAGCTGAATAAGGGCCATAGAGGAAAACTCCCATTTTTACGTGGTTTGAAGATGAGTTTCTCAGAAGTAGTGTAGCATTGAGAGCTTATAGTGCGATATCATTTATGTTCTATTTTGAAATAGATATCTGAATTTATATTAGGGTTCAGCTGCCAAATCCAGTACACAGAGATGCATGGTATATTTCCTTCTCAGGGTGAATTGCTTTAGTTACTTTATTCTGAGTTATTGTTCAACCCTATGGCTGCAAGTTGAGTATATGTTTGTAGTGCATATAAAACTTCTTGTGGCCTGACTCTGATTTCACTGACATGGCTGTTAATTCACTAACTTCAGTGGAGTTAGTCCTGATTTATTTGGCAGAAGTGAGGACAGAATCAGGCCTTAAATCTTCAAATAAAAAAGCTGAACTATAAAAATACAGTGAAATAAAATACTGCCGACACATTCTCATTAGATAGCATTTCATATGAGACTAAAATAATAAGAAAAAATCCTGGTTAATAGAAGAAAAAGAAATCAAATATCTGTTCAGAAAGGAGAAAGAATTATGAATTTGTAGTCTACAGAAAAATAAGAGTATTCAATGTAAGTATTGCTTTGAATATATACATTTATAACAGTGACAACTTATCAAGGAGAATTGTTGTGTTTCTGCCTGGCAGTCACATTTAAAATGAAGCCAGGTTGACTTCTGAGTTGATGTTTGTCAAGACTTTGTTTAATCCTCAGTTCTATTAGCAGATTTATTTTTCAAGTAAGCTTATAGTTGATATTTATTTATTAGTGCTTTATTTGGGTGAAAATCTAATTATTCCATTGATCGTAGATCATATTAACTCATTTAAGATCAGTTATTTGAATATGTTTTTTACTAGGATCAAAATGATGTCAAGTTTGAGGAAGTTAGCATCTCTGGTACCAAGCTGAGCAGGGAGCTGAGAGAAAGAACAAGCTGGACAAGTCAAGTAATCACATGTTGACGTTTTCACGTGGATCTATGAAAAACACATGTAGAAGTCTTTTAGCAGTAACACTTGCAGTGACCTGGGAGATAAAGTGATGTGGGAATTTACCATCTCCCTGTAAAACATTTCCCCTTTTACTTTTAGTGATGTACGGCTCAGTTACGTGGGCCTTTTTTCCTTTCCAGCTGACTACTGTGGCTTTAGGAATGCATTGAGGACTTCCCTGCACCCATCTCCTGGCTGTGGTAGCTTTACTGCAGTGCCAGTGTGGGGAAGGCTGAAAGATCCAAATGTGAGCAGGAGGTAACTGAGCACAGCCACGCTGAGCACAGCGAACTGCGTTCACCAGGGAGCGTTTTGTCAGAAGACCACTAATCTTAGGTTAGCTCCTGAAATCTCACTGACTTAGCATTATTTACAGATTGGTATCAATTAGTTCCTAATGTGGAAAAAAAGTGTCCTGTTGTAGCTTTGACAGTTTTTTCACTAAAGGCCACTTTACATCACCTGTCTTACATGAGCAGGGGCCAGAGAAGCGTTGTGTGAAGACTAGAGGATCTGCAATGGGAGTGCTGGTTTATATGGTTATAATCTGGAATTGCCATAATGGAAAAAGGAGTTGTGAACACATGTGTATGAATGGAATTGTTCCACGGTTAACAGGAGATTTATGGCAGAAGAAATCACTACAGAACAGCAAGTGGTAGAGATTGTGTTTTTATTTTAATACGAGAGCCAAGTCTTGCATTAGGACACTGTTGAATTTAGTGTAGAAAATAAACGACCCCCAGGGGACAGCGTAGTGTTGTGTTAGATTGAAGAGCCTTTAATAACCCCATAGTCTAATAGCAGTTAAGATAGAGAACGCATAAGAAGTTATCTTCTGCTTTTACAATAATGTGAGCACGGTAACAAGAAACAGTTATGATGTGTTGGCATCGTAGCTTTTAGCAGATGACTTTTTAAATTAAAAGATAAGTTTGCTGAGTGACTTTCTGGAATTTAATGAAGGCCCATAAAATATGACATCTGTTTACAACAGGATTAGCAGCACCGTGCTCAACTACCACTCTGTACTCCAGACAAGATGCATCAAACAAATCTGAAATCTTCTTTCATTCGTGCTAAGTTCAAGCTCATTTTGGAAAAGCATAAATTGTAGAAGTTCATTCTACATCTGTCTTTAATCTTGATTAACAGTTTCTGGTTTTGCAGGTTCCAGGTTGTCTTGTCTTGGCAAACTATAGGCTGTAAATGTGCACAAATACATATTGCAACAATTGCTGCTTGTTCAGTTTTCTTGAACTTAGTTTTTCTTTGACTAGCAGTAAGCAACAGCAAATAGGTTAGTACTGCAATTTCCCCTTTGGAAAAGTCAATCTATTGATTAAGTTCAGTTACCTGTTTTTCTGCATGGGAGATATCTGGGGATGGGTTTAGTTTTGAACTGAATTATATCTACTGTATTTACATTCTGTAGTTAGTATATCCATTTGGGTTGTGCAGGATGAGAGTAAATTCTTCCTGAAATAATTTCTTCTGTGAAAACAGTAGTAGGAAATTTACACAGGACTTGATAAGCAGCAAGTGTATGTTAGCCTGAGCCATGGCTCTCCTCTACACAAACTGTTCATGGTACTTGCAGACAACTTGGGCGTGCAAATGTACACTAGATGGCAGTTTTGTTATATCTTCCGAGCACCAATAGCTCTGTAGGAGAACAGGAAAGGCCATCAGTGTTTAGTCTGCGCTCGCAGGGTCCCTGCATGACCAATGTGGACCCCATGGACTTCCTGCAACATGTGTTAGCAATTTAGCAGCAGACATTTATTTCTTTGTTTTACTGCTTGGCTCTTTGAGAAAGTGTTGGTACTCAGTTATGGGCTGTCTGGATCATGTCAGAGGCCATGGGGATCAAGTCCATGTGACAGGCCAGACTGAGGAAGGATGAAGTTGGAGGAGGTGAGGAAAGTGACCCTTACTTCAGCAGTAACAAGTCACTGCCTGTCTGTGGACTGTGGCCAAAAGCCTGGGTGTTTTAGGTCTAATGCAGCTGAACAAACAAAACACTTTGCCCATTTGGCTTTTTCATATTTCATCTACAGTAGTTTGGTCAAACTGTTTTCTATTTCCTAAGAAGAGGTTCTTATTCTTTATCTTTTTTCTCCTTCATCTTTTTTTCTCCCCCCCCCAAATTCTGTTTTAGCCCCGTCCAGACGAGGTGACCTTGAAATCCTTGGCTACTGCATGCTGCAATGGTTATGTGGGAAACTACCGTGGGAGCACAACCTGAAGGACCCCGTAGCTGTCCAGACTGCAAAAACAAAGTAAAAACAAAACAATACGCACATACACACGTCAACATCCTTATCACTTAGCAAAGTGAGTCTGGGAAGGACAGCCACACATCCTGTAGGGTATCACCTTACAAGAAAGCAAGAACGATTTTCCTTAATAGAGAAATGCTAGAAGCAGTTAATGATGTGAACTTTCCCTAATTTTTATGGATGTATGACTGTGGAGATGCCATAAACTCAGCTGCACAGTCTGGTCATTTTGTCTGCTATGTATTTTTTCAGTACTCCTTTCAAAGCAAACACTTGTGCACGAGCACGTGCCTTACTGCACATGTAGAAGGATGTTATAGATTTCCACTACAGTTCGTGGGGGCTTTGTAGAGACGAATGTACAAAAGTCTCTTGGAAGTTTTCTTTCACATTTGCATTCAAGGAATTTAACTTTCCATTCGATACCTATTTTTTTTAGCTGTTTGATGTAGGTTTTTAAATTTATACAAGCCTACTGCTGGTACACTTAAATAGCAGCATACTAAATAACTTGTGTAAAATCTTTTCTTTTTCCTGGCATGACTCATTAGAGCTTACTAAAGCAACAGAGTGTATTAGTGTTTTCTTTCACTGTTTTCACAGTTGGGACTTTAGAGAGTTAATTGCATGTGCTACAGCGTTGCCTGCAGAAGGCTGTACAGAAGAGCATTTATCCATAAATGTAACATCACAATTGGAGGAGGCAGCAAACTTTTAAGTAGGGCAAGTCACAACAGAGGTACACAATGGGGATAGCTGATCCACAGAAATCAATCTGCAAATTCAGTGTGGCATCGGCTCTCAGCAGAGAAAAAGGTTAGCCTGCAGACTGTGGATAATACAGATTGCATCTGTAAATGTTGACATCGTATGTTATGTTTAATATTTCTCCTTTAGAACCTCTGATCATTACACAACCCCCTGCAAGGTAACACTTACACAATTCAATGTTAAATCAATTTAATCAATCAAGTTGCTTCACTAATTCTTCCCTTGCGATTAACCCTTAATTCTTCCCTTGCAACTGCTAGGATTTTTAGGATGCCAAGCAAACAGATGCTTAGGAGGAAACGCACAGAAAATGATAGATTAGATTAGCAGCGATATCCTCCTAGTCTAATTAATTAAGCACCTTGGTATCAAGTAATGTTCCCCTTTAACGTACCTTGTTTTTCAGTGCCTGAACTGTTTTCAAAGGCTAGAAACAGTCATCAGCATACATGCGTGCACTCAGTTGCATATCTGTCACTAAGTACATTAGCAGCCCAGGCAGATCGCTTCTGGGCACACCAGTCTCTTGCTGTGAGTGTGTGACTGTGAGGAAAAGGGGCCAGGCCTGCAAGGTGGGATGCAGCTGAGAAGCAGGAGTCAGAGCAGGACTCAGTTCTGTTGTTCATGGATGGTATCAGCCTTCCCTTACAGGTTCTTAATCCTCTTCTACCAGTAACGCTGGGACAATGAGGTCACTGTGCCAAACCTATGGGCTTCGTTAAGGGCTGCTGCTACACTTGAGTTCAGAAATTCTCATGCTATAATTGGATTGGGGTCTCTATCCGAATTGGAATTTAAGCTAAACTGAAGGAAAATAGACACATTTAAATGTTTCATTTCTCCAAAACAGTCATACCTTTTGATATTAGATAACAGCTCCTGGTGAGACCAAGGGTCCTTCTGGCCTTGTATTCTGTTTTGGAGGATGGTCAGGAGAAAGAAGTATTAAGAAGAATAAAAAAGGGACTAAATTACTCTTTTAGTGAACTGTGTTATTTTTTGAACATTACAGATTACCTGTATTTATTAAATAGGGAAATGAGGTGACTGTAGCATGGAGATGTGCATTGCAAGTAGCTGTATGTTAAATAATGCTCCTCCACTTTCTGTTACAGAATGCAAAGCCCACATAGATAGCTTTGCAGGGAAAGATTCACAAGCCTGAACTTCGAGGTGTCCCTGTTACCACAGAGCTGAGGGCTCAGAGCAAGGCATGCCTGGTCATCACATTTCTCTTGCTGGCAGAACTTGGCTGAAGTTAGGGTCTTAGTGAAGCTGTTGCATACCAAACAAATAATTCTAAATGACTGAGTAACTAGATTGTGGCGTTGAAGGTTATTTTCTAAGTACCCCAATTCTGCACATTTGAGAACGTATCTTGTTCCTGATCAGTGGACCTTTGTGACTCCTTTAAGCAAAACAAAGGATCCTTTGACAGCATTAACAACACAACTAAAGTAACAGTTTCACTCAGGAAAAGGGAGCTGGTGCATCTGCAGGCTCCTGCAAGTGCTAAGAAATGGGGTTTCCTGCCTGCTCAGAGATGAGAGCCGGTGATGCTTCACCCCATTCTAAGGTATGATTTATTCTGAACTCTGGTTTTCTTTGTTACTTCTGGTTTGGGATAGACAGGAAGTAGATCTGTGCCCTTGCCCTTTTTTTTTATTTTTTATGTGCACAGGACTCTCAGTGTTGCATCACCTCCCTCTCCCTCTCTGTCCCTGCCATGCCTGCTTGTAATTTTGACAGCCGTCACGCAGCTGTCTGTGAGCTATATGGCAGAAAGAATCTGATGTTAAAGTATTACCAGGCAGATAAGAGCTGCTTCTTAATTTTCAAAACACAAATATTAATCACTAAGCTGAAACATGTTCAAAAGATTTTTTTTTTCTCTTTCTAGAAAGGTTAAAATATCTGCAAAGAAAAACTTAGAAGTACAGTCTTAGCTGTAAACCTGGTCCTGCTGAAATCAGCAGCCTCCAAAGAGTTAAAAATACAGCTGGAAAGGGGAGATCTTGTTTTAAAAGCAGTGCTGTGAATCATAAGCTATCCTGGAGGTCCACTCCCTCTGGAATTGAGACTTGCTGTCTTCCTAAAATCCCAAATGAAGAATCACCTGCTCCAAAACTGCATTAAATTGTTGTACTCTCATGTTGTTTCAGACTTATGGATGAGCTCCCACATTCAGTGATGGAATGGAATTCTTCTGGAAGCAGCTGTAGTAAGTGTGCTCACAGTGTGTACCACAAAGCTCTTCAATCTGTTACAGAAAATACTGAGATGTCTTACTTTATTTGGGGAAGCAGAAGAAAAAGAAAAATACAAATGTAGCCAACTTTTCAATTTAAAATATTAAAGTTAATTGCCAAACTTTGACACCTTAAGGCAGATGCAATTGTGAGGCCTGAGTCCATGCAGTTACCAGTCTTAGGACAGACCAAGAATATCCGAGTCAGTGCTACCTGAACTTTCCTGACATGACTTACAACTGCATCAGATCTAGAAATCAAACCTGGCTCTCAGCTTCTCCCTTACTTTTTGGTCCCCATGCTTCTTTGATATCCCGTCCACATCCTTATTGTCTTCCCTAAAAACTTCCCTCACTTTTCTGTCTACCTGTTTACTTGGTGAGTTAGTTACATTCTGAGAAGATGGCTGCAACTTCTTTACTGCACATGGAACAGTTTGGGGGTGAGGTTTCCATTGTCAGCAGCTTTTTATAAGGTTTGACTCTTTCTCTTGCCAGATGTAGGAGCACAGGTTTGGTGGTAATGTGCAGTAAAAGCTGAGGGACAGGGGATTAATAAAGAAATCTCTACAGTGCTCAGAGATATGCTCTGTATTAAATAGGGTATTAAGATAGCAAATAGTACAAAATATATGTAATTCAGGAATGGATGCATTCAGGGCAGTTTCCCTTTATCCTATTTGTGTAAAATTTGGCACTGGTGGAACCTCTCTGAATGCGTATCTGTCCAGCATAATAATTCACCCTGCAATATCTGTGTTTAGCTGATAACAGGGTAGTTACATAATACTCATTGTGAGATTATATGTCAGACTCATTAATTTAGGGTGTAATTTAATTTAACTAATATTTCTGACTTCAGTGGGATTGGATCATGCCCTTCATGTACAAGCTTAAGCTTAAAGCATTTTTATCTTGAAGGCTTGTTTACTGCAAGGGCAGAAACTAATTTCTGAATGCTGTTGGATGCTGGTCACTCTGCAATGCACAATTCTTGATGCTTAATAATACTTGGTGATTAAGAATACTTAGTGCTTTTATTGCAGGAACGTCTGATGCTGCTTTTCTGCCTTATCCCATAAGCAAGTACTAAGTAGGCAATGCAGATATGGAGGGCTAAATTTTCAGCCTCTGCAAGCGGTAGAACAAAAATCTGAATCTCGTCTGTGATGTGTGATGCAGTGACGTAAGGGATTTCAGCCATAGGTAATCCAGGCTGTTTAGGAAGGAGTGACTATTTTAGGAATAGAATAATTGCCCACAAAAGGTTTATAGCTTAGTATTTTGAGTTTGAAAAAGCAAATGAACGCATAGTTCATCTTGTCATTTATCTCCTTTGCTGAAATACAAAAGTAGCACGGGGAAAACATTGCATTTCCTACGGAAGTCAGCTTCTATTTTTATTTATTCATTTATTTTCATAATATCTGCATTTGAACGATTGGGATGCAGGACGTGTTACATAAAATGTATTCACAATCTACACACGTATTTAGTAAGTTTTTGCTTCTGGGATTTCACTGGATGCTAATGTCTGGTGTGGCACTTCAGTTTTGGGATACACTTGGGTTGTCAACTGAAAGAAAGGTTTGATCCACCCCTGTACGTTTTCCCTAAGAGCACTATTTTTGCACGTTCACTGGTTTTCTTGTTTTTAGAGCTACTCAAAAGTGTCTGCAAAATAATGCTGCTGTTAGACTGTATTAGTATGTAATCCCAAAATCAACGTTTGTCAAACTATTAGAAAACAAAATTTTTTCATTCACCGAAGCATTCTAAGGATATTTACACAGATTAAAGTAGAGTTGTTGAAATTAGTTAATGTTTAAAGTCATGTTATGATCCTTCAAATGTAAAATACTTCTGTTTTATACAGAAGTATCCAACGTCTTTCAGTAGAGTTTCGATCAATTATTATATTTAATTAACTTATAGTAGCACACAAACTACTGCATCTGCAGAACAAGATGCAGTGCTTAAGGGTTAGCTTGCTTATCCAAGTCTATCTTTTCCTTTCTCATCTCCAAAAGACAAGATATTGTCAGCTCTGTTTTGAGTGTTGTCTTCAGCTGAAATTTTGTCATCTTGTTTGGCACTGTAGGATTGGCACCCATTTTGGAATTAAATGCTGTCTGAAGATGTAGGTCTACACCAAGTGAAATTTACATTTGAAATACATTCCACAGGTGAACTATCCAAGTTTTTGGTGTGTGTTTATGGCTTAGCTTACGATGAAAAGCCGAAGTACCAAGAGCTTAAGGAAATCTTGCTGGATGGACTGGAGATGAGCGGAATTCCCTATGATGGCCCTCTGGAATTTTCCAGTGCAGGATGCACACAAAATCACTGTGCTGCTAAAGCATCAAAAGTAAGTAAGAGAGTTTGGGAATTACTTCTGAAATCTCTTGCTTAATTGTTGCCTTTTATTTTGTAAAAGAGGAAATAGTTTAAGATCACAAAATGGGACTGACACAGCAGTTCTTTTTGCCTTAAATACACCATGTTTGTTAATTCCTGTTTCCCCTGGCTTTGCTAAAAAGTGGGATGTCAACCCTTAAGGCGGAAGAACTGTCATGAGTCCTTTTGACCTACAGCCTCTCACTTCAAAGCAGTAGGTCTGTAGAGAGCGATTTACTTTCAGGATAATGGGGAAGTCGAGGACTTTGTTCACCAACATCTTGAAGACGAGCCTGGATGCCAGGTTTTTCCTTCTTTCTAGATTAAAAGCATAGCTACCTTTATTAGTGAAAGCATTTAATTCATTTTCTTGCTTTCAAACTGTTCTTTGTCATTTGCCTTTATACTCCTGCAGCCACTAATGCGGAGGAGGTATTATTCTGGGATTTAACTATGTTATTGGTATGCAGTGATGCACTAACACGGAATTTAAAAACTGACAGCTAATAGTGTTATGTTTGCCTCTTGTACTTCTAAGTCTGAAACGATACGGTTAATAAAACCTTATTTTAATAAGTGGAAATTGAGGTAATTAGCGGTCTTACTGGACTTGCTGTGAAATGTCACTCCCAGCATACCTCTGCCTTGAAACTACCCGTATGCAAAAGCCCTGTTTCTGCCTGTGATGTGTGTGCAATAAGGCAGGGTCAGGGTACCATTCATTTTTAATATTTCTGGTGAACTTTGGACCAGCACAAGTATACGTGAGCCAAGAATGCAGGATGCAAACTAATGTGACTGATAGGCTGCTAGATGAATGGTGATTCAAGTATCAGTGCACAGATGGTTCTGATTTGCTGAGTTTTGTAGCTGCTGCAACTGAAGACATAAAATATCCTTCTAGTCATAAATTAGCTCTTTGGAAGCAAAACCTTGGCACCAGAGCTTTACAACCTTCAATTAGTAGGGAAAGAAGTATTTGAATGACTGTGGTATTGACATCTGTAGGCCTGCATAGTAATCATTCCTAATAGAAGAGAATATCTGTTTGAGGGGGTTTTGCATGGCTAATTAACCACCAGTGAGAATATGTAATTTTTTCATGATCTCCTGATTGTCACCTTTCTCTCATGATACAATTACATTTTATTGTAGCTAGTGCCTCACAAACCAATTGTCAGCACTATTTACGTATTACGGAAGGCAGGACAAAAGTTCATGTTTAATAAAAAGGCACTGAGTTTTGATCCTGGTAATTACAGATACTTATTTTAGCAGTTTTATTGACTTTTCTGGTTTTAGCACTTTTGTTTTTTAACAAAACCAAAAGCTGTGTCAGTGACAGAGTTTTCCTTGCTATGACTGTGACTGTGTTGTCCTCACTGTTTGAGTCCATTTTTTTCCTCCAGTTTGTACCATTCTCTGAACTTAACAGCTACCTGGCAGTTCAATTAACTAATCTCCAGCTAATCCAGTTGGATCTGTGGTTCACACATCTTAGATTTCTTAGAGCAGGATACCAAACAGCTAAGTGTCCATCTCATTGCCTGGCCTAAGACTTGTACAATACGGTGTCAGAAAAGGTAAAACTTCTGGACTGTAAAAGTCACTGCAGCACCTGCTGTTTGCGAGGGTATAACCCTACTTCAAAACCCATGGATGGGATGTATCACTTATTAGCACTCTCGTGCTGTTGGCTTAGGGATGTTTGTTTCTTGTAGCCAACAAGTAGATCCTAGCACCCATCACATCTTCAGAGAAACTTCTGATGTTGACTGCCTTGCTTTTTGGAATAAGATGAATGCTTAAGGGCCACATAATTACAAGTAGAGGGCAGGTAACCAGACCTTCTCTGGTTTTGCTGCTGTTCTTAGACAATCCAGTGTTCAGGCTGAGGGCCAAGTGCAGTTTGGTGCTGGAGTCCTGGCAGCACGGTGGCAGGCAGGCACTTACTTTCCCTTTGCAGCTCCTCATGCTTACCCTGGCTCTGACTCCTTTCATTCACACCTCTGCGTTCTCTTCCTACCTCCCCTTTTTTCTCCATCTACTTCTCCCATTAAACAAACAATTTAAAGATGGAGGGAGCCACTACAAACAGGCCTGATTCCTCACTTCTGAGAAGCAGAAACTGAATCTAGCTGCCTTGTCTACATCTACCTGCTGTACTTTTATACAGGAAAGAGGTGAACTTGGGTTAATTCCCATCTGAAGGCCAGTAAACATCCAATGCTGTCACTGAGGAGGTCTTGTAACAAAAGCTGTCCTCGAAGATGATGTGAAAAGGAATTTCTATAGAATCTGAATTTTAAGGTTTAGCTCCCCGTATTGCACATTAATTTAATCTTGAGATGACATTAAAAGTGTAACAGTAGTTATATCCATGTTCTTTGTTTCAGTTGCACATTGAACAGATGATATAACATTAATTAGGTTAATTCTCAAATTTGTTTACAACAGTTTTTGGCACTGGATAAATATTCTCAGCTTTCTCACCTACGCTGAAAATGCCAGAATTAGGGCCAAATGAAGTATGTAAGGCCAGCTGACTACTTGTTAGATGTTGTAAGTTTCATGTTGGAAAATGATTACATTAATACCAACTTGTCACGTTATTAGTATGGAATAGTGTAATTTTTAGGCATACAACAAATATTTTCCTGAGTGCTGTAAGTCCTGTGCTGAAAGTGATTTAGTCATTTGAAGTACGTGTACGTTGTGAAGACAGCAGACGTAGCTGTCAGCAGGATTAGCAGTTCCTGCATGATGCACTATGGTGCTGTGATGCAGAGAAAACAGCTTGGACCTCCAAACTGAGAGAAGTGTCAGGGTGGCACTGAGCCTTGCTTATATAATGAGGTTTCTCAAGGCTACTGACAGCATTATGTCCTGAGGTAGACTGCTTGAAACTGGCTTCAGTTATTCAGAACAAATACACCTTTATGTTTCTAAACAATGATTTTCACAGATCTGTAGATCTGTTCCTTAAAGGTGTTTTGGATTAAACTATAGGAAGTGCTTACTGGCACTTCCAACAGTATTTAGCTTGTGCAAATTCTATCTCCTATATGTATTTAGTTTGCAGTATGCAAAAGAAGCACATTACTTCTTTTCTAGCTTCTATATTGAGACACAGCTGCTGCACATAGGACCATATGCAAACATTGCAGTTACAGAGTTATTAGGGTGCCAGAAGTACCAAAGGCATGTGGCATACAGCCTGTGTTTTGGCTACGTTTGTCTTCCAAGTTAAAAAAGCCAAAAACAGACATCATTTGATACGTGGTGCTTAGATTAGCACTAGGAGAAACTTGTATGATCTCAGTGCAACTATTCACCATGTAATCCCAATTACATTCTTCTAAAATGTAAGACTTCACTTTTTAAATTCGATTACTTGAGTTGGAAGACTTCCTATCTTTCAGCTGTCCATCTAACTCACTCCACCAGTATGAAATGCTCTCAGCTCTACTTAATGATACAAACAGTGACTTAGTGCCCTTATTCCCAATAAAGGTGATTAATAAATATCTTGAAAGGTATAACTCAGGTATAGTTTGTAGCATACTTCCCAAATACAGCATAGCTCTAACTTCATACTGCTTGAAAATGGCGTTTATTGGTAATTAAAATGCTGAAAAGAATTATTTAGAAAAACTAAAGCTTACTCTCATTCTGTGTTCTCAACACTGAAGCTAAATTTTTTTTCTTTTTAAAATACTGAGGCATTTTTTTTACTGTACAAAACTGCTGACTGTTCATCAACAGGTTCGCTTACCAAAGCCTATGCCAAAACCAGCTCAACAGAAGCAAAAGAAGATGGAAAGTGAGGAAAACATCTGTCAAAACAGGGCCTGGACTCGAGCAAGAGGCAGACTGCTCCAAGATGAAGAAAAGCCAAGTAACTTAAACCAGACACTTCCCCAAACAGAGCCTCAGCAGGTGAGGATTTTGGCACTGCAGTAATGCATGGTATCTCCTGGGAGGTCACTCTCTTAGCTTGCTGGTCATCTTTTGGGAAGGGCCAAGAGAAGATGAGTGCTTGAAAAAAGTCAAGCACTGAGTCATGAACACCAGAAGTGGGCAGACACTTATTGGCTTGCATTACTGGAAACTTGCAACTTTGTATGTTGTACCCAGGTAAGAAGGACAAAACAGGCACACTACCTGTCTCAAACCTGTTAGGTAGAATACTGGAATAGTACCTCTAATTGTGAAGCCTGCTGGTTTTTTCTTTAGCATACAGAATTACTGTACGTCAACAGGTTCACTTGCCAAAGCCTTCACCAAACCCAGTGAAACAGAAGCAGAAGATGAAAGAGGATGCCTTTAAGTACCCAAGCAGGCCCCAAGCTCAGATAACGCACAGGAAATCCCATGCTGAAGAGAAGCCAATGAAACTGAACAGCACCATTCAGGAGACTGACCCACAAAAGGTGAGGATTTTGGTGTTAACTTAGAGCAGGCATGGCACACAGGGAAAGAAAGATGAGCTCTGCAAAAAATGAGTTTCAAAAAAACTAACAGCAGTACAAAAACTCAAAATTAACACAAATGACTAACATTAACACAAACACTAAAAGGTTTGCATATGGTTTCATACAGCTCCAAATTAACCTTTGTTGTATATAGTTTGATAGTAAAGCACTGTCCCAGTGTGCTTCCCAATAGATAAAAGTGCTGGGGAAAAAAACAATCGTCTCCTTCTGTGGTCCTTATTGGTTTTTTTTGGGAGAAGCTAATAGCACTCTTAATAGAGTTCTTAAATTCTGACTTCTTAATCTGAGGATCTGAGAAGTTAACTAATTAATCTCACTTACTGGTAACTACTACATTAATAGGTTGAATGAATATGTTCTGTCTTAGTCTTCAACCATCCAGATCTAGGTTTTACTAACATTCCAACTTAGCAAGCATCCTCTGTCCTTTAACAAATTCATCCCTATTTATCTCCTTCACATAGAAAAAAACATAAGGACAATATTGAATAAGCACAAAAATGCAGCTTTAAAGATAGCTTTATTATTAATCCAAAATTATTTGCTTCTGGCAGTCTGCTGATCGCTGCCTGGAGACTGCAGCACAAGCTAGGAGAGTGAAGCAGAAAAAGCGCAGCGGTACCTAAGAGCATCAGGCAGTAAAGTGGTGAGCAGAACGATGTTTGGAGATGTCTTGGCTGGTAGCAAAGTAGTCAGACTCTGAAAGGTCTCCAGATTTCTGACACAATCAAACTTTTTCCCTGAAGACTTGGAGTGCGACTTCATAATCCTCAGATGGAAAATTTTAAAAATATTAGCAAATAAAAAAAGTGCCCACCCAATCTCTGTTCCTCCTGTGTGTTTTGTATGAAGGCAACTTTCAGTTGTTAAAAAAGAAGCAGATAAGGAAGGAGAGACACATTCAGTTTTCTGTCATGACATTGGGGGGGTAAGAGAAACCACTGGTATCCTCATAACATCCCCTGCTCATCTAAACAACTGGACTGTGGATCTTGACATGGGAGGTTTGTGTTTCCCTCCTCTTTGTGGGAAGAAAGGAGAAGTACATTTTAAATAACTGGAACTGATCACCAGTCTCATATTTGGATTATACATTTGTTTTGATTTAACCATTCTAAAGGAGAAGCCACTGTTGCAATATAACAGTGCTGCATCTATACAGAATGGTTTTGTAGCTCTCACTGAACTTAGTGCATTAAAGGGAAGAGTTAAAGTGCATGTCAGATTACAAATTAAGACATTCAAGTGAGGAACTAGAAATGGGAAAAAAAAATGGCAGGATTGCCTTAGTTTCATATTGCACAGTTCCTTTTAATTTCTTCCATGTAATTTAGGAGATGGGTACAGAAAGCTGTATTTCATAGTAGTGAGGTTACTAAACTTCAGAAGGATGGTTCACGTACCAGGGTGGGGGAGGGGGAAAACAGTGGCTAATTCAGGAACTAGTGATGAGAGTCTGTCTGTCAAGTGTTCTCCAGAGAGCAATTCCAAACCCTTCAGTCAGACAGCTGCCTGGAGTAACTGCAGGCACCTCACTCCAACTTCAGCGCTTAGAGAGAATGGTCATGCTGCTGCTGTTCATAGTCAGAGATGATGCAGTTAAAGGTCTGAATACAGAGCTCGGAGGAGAAGTTCTGTCTCCATGGTTTATCTTCTAAGAGAAGTACGTTCAGAAAAACATCATATGGCTGGGACAATGACAAAAAGAGAAGAAAGAAGTGGGTCTGCTTTGTATGGTACTGTTAGAAAGCTGTTAGATATAAACAAAAAGGAGAAACAGTTCTGTGTCACAAGGGGAGCGCTGGAGTGAGAGGAGTAGGACAAAAAGAGTAGGATGGTTGTGAGAGACAGGACATCTGGCAAACAGAGAGGGTGGAAGGCAGAAATAATGTCTAAAAAAGAATATGGAAGTAATAAAAAACAATGAAAAAAAGCTACTTTTTGTTGGACATCATGGTTATCTATCAGATGGGGCGCAGCTTTTCATTAAAGGTAAAAACAGACATGCCTGTCACTGGGAGAGAAATAAGGCAGCCGATAATAAAGACATGAAATTTCAACTAAAATTACATATTGTGAATATATGTGAATTTTTCTAAAGGGATGATGAAAAATACACTTTGCATGAATTTTGAATTTTTGTTTATTTGAGAAACAAAATGATAGCGGTTTGGGGATTCATTTCAGAGATGTAGACCAAAAGAGTATGCTAAGGATCCCATTGCTGCTACAGACCTAAAGAACCAGCTGCCCTGTCCAGCTAGAAAGATGAACATGATGCATATTTGTGCTGTGTGTGATAAATCAGAAGGCAGCCACACTGTAAAATGCAAAGAGTTACACAAGTTAAAGCACTACATCAAACTTCAGATTATTGTCCAGGCTTTATTCACAAAAATACTGTAAAGATTTTAATATATTAAACATCTGGCAAAAAGAGTTAAAGATACACAAGAATTTCAGCTGTTCAGGAATAGACAAAATCTTTAAAGGGTGCTTAATCAAACCTGTAGTTATGCACTTAATAAACATCTGCAAATTCAAGAGTTAAGATTTGGTCAGAATTGTGTTGCTTTCTCTTAGATAGCTTAAATACCTAGATGTTATCTTTCTTTGCTTGTTGATTTTTATTTTTAATGCTTCAAATCTCACTCGTATAAATACTAAGGTTGTTATTACTGTTTTTTTTTTGTCCCCCTGCAGAAAGACACAGGAAGAGAATTACCACCACTCAGCCCCCACGCATCATTCTTGGAATCCAGAAGGAAACTAGATCAGCTTTTAACTACAAGTCATCCACTGTCTCTGCAAGAACCTGGTCTTTCTGTATCCACTATATTTAGGCTTGCATTTACTGAAGAAAGATACCACTACAGTATAGCTATACTTGTACTTTTGTTTCTGATATTACTTTCCTTGTATTTTCTTTGACATCGCCATTTCGTTGTCTTCAGTATAAGTGCATCAGCATTCCCATCGTGGTGTTTTTCTCAAGGTTTCTTCATGGAAGATTTCAGTGTCAGTGGCTTAGAAAATAATTTTGTAAAATAAAACTGTAAATACATACCCTTTAAAAGCAGGTTCTTCTAAACCTTCACCGTCTGCACTGAAGAGTTCTGTGTATGTACTAAAGTACTGTTGGGGGTTGTTCTGTACCATGAATTTGGGGATTTTTTTTTCAGAAATGAGTTCTTTTTTACAGACAAATTAAAAAAAAAATCATGAAAGATTGCAGCATGGAATTTAGTTATTTTTAACACTAGTATGTTGATATAGAAGTTGTTATAACAACATCTTTAAGGATTTTCTGAAACAGCATAGTTAAGTACTGATGCATTAAATGCAAACTTTTTTCCTCTTTTTATCCTGCTGGGTAAAGGGGAGATAAAAGCTGCAAATGCTGTTCAACAGAAGACTGAGATAAAGGCAAAAAACTATAGCAAAGTAACTACACTACTTCATTCCAGCTCCCATTTTCATCATACTTCCTTACCTTGTTACAATATGGACATTCACCAAAGATGACATTAAAGCTCTGTCTGCTGGAAGGAAGACCTTGTAGCCACTGCAACACAAATGATATGAAACAAATGTAGATTTTAATTTACTTAAATTTAAAACACATCCCTTAACAGAGTTTTGTAAACTTAGTTTGTCTGGGATACATCTGACACAGTGCATGTCAGGTCAGTCTGTATAACCACACAGTGAGGAAGGTTCACTTCCACACTGAGCTTGTTTTACACAAGAGTGTTCAAATCACAGTGGTTTTTCTAGCAACCCTTATGGGATTTTGCTTCATCTGAAATTGTAGGTGTGCAATGCTTATTTTTTATGACTTGCCAGTCAGTTAACAAGCAAGTTTGTCCCTTTAATTAGTGTACCTCATACAGGCAAGCCTGATGAAAAGGTTGTCCGCATCGGGGCTCATCGCACACTTGATCTGGCGTGGTGCCATTGAGGCGATAGGCATAGCAGATTCCACAGTCCTTAGTAAAATCCTGAAAACACACTAGTTTAGGTTCAAGAGGAAGAAAAAGGGCTGAGAAAGAGAAACATTTTCATCTATTTGTTTTTTGTTTTGCACCACTTCTTATTTAGAATTACTAAACATTTCTGCCTTCAGCATGTATTTTTTATATTATGATATTAACAGTGAGAGCAGTTGCCAGATGCACAGGACTGCTAGGTTACATTTCATCCTCTCACTGCATTACATCTAGTTTGACAAGCATTTTCATACTCGGGCCCCACAGTTTCTTTTTCAAACACAATGATTTGTCATTACATTTAGATATCAGAAACAAGACCTTGCAGTCAGATATTAATTTAAAAATTTTCACGAGTGAAAGCCAAGCTGGTAATCCAGTGTTACAGCATTGTCAGAAATTAATTCCAAGTTTATTTGAAATGCACCAGTATTTGGATGGCCTCTTGTCCCCTGTAAGCAGCTCTACCTAATTAGAACGTAAGTCATCAACATCCATAACAGAATGTTTGGATTTTCCACATCTCATTAACTCCTCTGGAACTTCCTCTTTCCCTTTTAATAGTGAAACCTATTATTAATTGTCCTGCTGCTATGAAGGCCACAGCAAAGTGTGCACCTCACATCAAAGGTTAACAAGTACTGACAATTGTTGCTTGAAGTTCAGAAGTCCTTATGACAATATATTACTCCAATTACCACTCTTCTAAGTCTCTTACTTTTCCTGGCAGTTATAAAATGACCGTTTAGATTTTACTTATTCAGAAATAACAGCTGATCATTAACAAAAAACAACTTACACTTTTTTCTAACACGGCACGAGATGGAAAATCAATTTCTAAGAGGTCTTTCAAGTTTTGTAATAAACTAATTTCTGGATCCCTGCAAATGTGAAAAAGGGAGAAAAAAGTAAATGCTAAGAACAGCAAATACCATTCTAGTTTCAAACCTGTATCATTAAAGGTGCTTACCACAAGTGCATGTTGCTGTTCAGCTTAGTTCTCAAAGGGTTAACCACTGCAAACAATATACAACACATAGTTATAATATCCTTATGATCCCCTTCTATCACTTGTCCAGTTCTACCCCTTCTATTTCAGCAACAAAGGGCGAGTCAATATTTGTTCGTGATCATTTTTTTGGTGGTATTTTTTTTAAATTAATTAAGGCAACTAACTCAATGATTGCCCTCGGTTTTAGAAACTGATTATGATTATGCTAGCATTTAAAACACCATACTGATTTATTTCCCTTAAGAAGTTGGCAAAAAAGCTGTGTGAAGCAGAGTGAAAGACTTAAACACTTCCAAACACCACTAGGACATACACAGTAAATTATTAACTTATTTATATAAAGAAAATAGTAATAAAACATAAATAAAACTTCATAATCATCTATAGGACATAAGCTGTGTTAGGAAAGCACTAGGAAAAAATGTCACTCAGCAAAACAGCATGCTGCAGATGTATGCTGTTAAAAAACAGTGTCTGTATCAAACCCTCCTGTACACACAGCCTAGTTCCTGGCTCTACTTAGTGTTTACCCAGGAGCCTGACATAGCTTACTCTGGTGCCTGCTCACCAGAGAGCAGATTCTAGAAGAGAAACAAATGTTGTCTTTCTGCTGCCTTACCATGATCTGCTCCAAGGAAGTAACACTCAGGGAGCATCTTTGGATGCCTGGGATCTACCTCTATGTTCACAGAAACATTGCTCCCTACAGGGAAAAAGTCAGACATAGGTGAAGCTTTTCTTTGCAATCAGCTACTTGAAAACAGAAACATTAACTTAGAAAACAGTTATAAATTAATGAATTCAGACTGCTTTTAATTGCTCCAGATAATTGGAAAGTTGGTACAAAACATTCTATTTCAATGGACTGTAATTAAAAATAGCAACTTACTAAAAAAGTTACATCTTGCATTTCTCTGAGAATAGTCTTAACCTTAATGCTTAGACTTCTGAATAATCGAATTAAAGCTAATGGTATAATCAATTTAAAATCTTAGTGAAATTCTAAAGGCAGAAGAGATTTAATCATCAGTTCTGCTTCATCTTTTGATGTCCAAAAGGACAAAAAAAATCTATCAACAGCATACAACCCCTCAACAGCATACTCCTGGACTGAGCAAGCCACAGCATATTTCTCAAACAGCAAATATTTCCCATTATATGATACCCTAAGAACCCCAAAGGATTTGCTCCAAAATGTTGTGGATCCAGGTTAAGAACCTTGCAGCACATTCTCCTCTAAGCACAAATAAGTGAAATCCAACTTCTTTTTTTCCTAATTAACAGGTATATTAGGCTTGACCTTCTTGAATAAATTGGAATGAATTAAATCAAAATCTAGTCTTAAATGAAGATTGTCTATAACTGAAAACAAAAGCCTGAAGGCATACATTGCCCTCCGCTGATCTGAACTTTTTGAAGCTTTCCCTTCCTTTTCATTGGTCTTTATCAGTACAGTGGTACAACCAAGATAAAGCCAGTCTGACACCAAAAATGTATTATCCAATCCACTGCTTTCTAACCAGCTGTTGACCTTCTCAGTCCCTCCCTGTCCCTCCGTGTCACTCCCATCACCCCCAATGAAGGAGCTGCCTCAGCACCCCACCAGCAGCATTCCTTCCCCGCTCTGCAACTTTCACGGACAACTTAGGTCTACTTTGGTCCATTGCATGTTCTCAGATTTCTACAATATGCAATTGGCATTTTGGATTTAAGCTGAAAATCAGAAATCTTTTCAAAGATAACATTTTCACCTGTATTCCTAACCTAAGACTTTGGTAAGTTTCTCCTTTGCAAGTACAAGACTCCTTACTCTCTATATACACTAAGACCTTGAAGTGCCACATGTCAGCATATGAATTAAGGTACTTTTTTCAGATTGTTAACATTGTATGCCTCAAATTTCCTCTCCTCCTTTCTTTGTCCTTTCCTCCTGCCTCTTCAACCTCCTTTTCCCTCTTTGGACTATACTAATTCTCCTTTCATTCTTCCAGGACAGGAACAATCTAAAACAATAGTCTACTGAAAAACTGGAATTTGTGAACAAGATCAGGGATTCTTCTAAGCTCTGTTCTACAAACACTGATTTTCTAGAGCTGTCATGCAAGTTCTCTTTATTCTTAAAAGTTATGCGCAGTAATGTGGAAATGAAACTTGAATTTTGTATTAAACATGGCGAGCTTCTAACGATTTCATAAAGAGGCGTAGTGCTCAGTGGAAGTGTGTTTTTAATACAAAGTAAGAGTTGTGTTTTACTGTTTTTAAGTCCTAACCTTCTTTTTCTTGATTCAAAAAAACACCACCTGACCAGATAAACGGAGAATAAAAAAGCATGCTGAGTTTACTTCTAGAACTCATGCATTCCTTCCAATCTTTGTGTACCTATGGCGATCCTTCTTGATGTAGCACACCTGGCTGGATTCTCTGGCTCCAGTACCCACGTCTTCCCATCAATTTCATCCATGGTGTCCCAGAACTCTTTCAGTGATTCTAATGCTGCCAGGAACTGATTATGGATGTCTACTAAGGAGTCCTGGGAGAAAAAGAAATTTAAAGATTTTATGTGGTTTCTACCTATAGCAATATAGAATATTTAAAAAAAACAACTGCTGTAATTTAAGAAGCATTAAAATCTAGTATGCATCCACTAAGAGTATGGTAGCAAAAAAATGCTGGACCTTATATAACACTTTTTTTTTTTTAATTGAAGCAACACAAAGTAGACAACTATCTTCATTACTATTTCTCTAATCTTGGTACTTCTAGCACATTGTGATAAGTATACATCATAACTGATTTGATATTGTTTCATACTCTTTTTTTTTTTTTTTCTTTAGGAAACTGCTGTGAAAACTGGTGACAACTACAGGGTAGATTTTAAAAAAGCTATGATATGTGGCTAAACAATGTTATAACAGTCTCAAAATAAAGCAGCATAAAGCCAGGGACA